CATATCACAAACGTATTGAAACTTCTTCATTCTTGATTTCTGAGCAGAGAGTCGATTTGAAATGACCCTGCAAAATAAAAGCGGTGTGATTGAGCTAATGCTTGAATGTTCGGCAAAAAGAAAAGGAATTATACGTTAAAGAAGACAGAATAATCTCACCGTTTAAGCTTTTTGGGGTCCATGTTGTAATCCAGGTTACGACCTCGGCGGACCTGAACACCATTTCCAACCTCAGTTTTGGCAGAATTATCACCAGCAGAAGTCTCGAGGGTCAGTTTCTGATCAGATGGAGGAAATGGGTTTTGATCTGTCTTCTTGTTATTTTCAGCTCCCATGGAAAAAGGATATGACCCCTGCAAGAAACAGTTCCTAGTTCCAGTACTGCTGCTTGCCCCAGCAGCACCAACCTGACTCATGAAATAGGGTTTTTGCCAGACATGAAATGAACGAGGGGCTAGAGGAAGATTTGATGGAGACATGAAGCTGAAACGTCTGGCATCAATGGAATTCTTAGGCTGGGCTGGGGCAGCTGGTATTTCCTGCTCAATCTTTTTGTTCTTTCCCTCCATGTTCTATCAACCTGAAAAGAGACAAAACAAACAAGCAAGCATTAGAAGAAAGGAATTGAAACCTTATAATAAAAGAAATGAGCTTTCAACTCAAACTAAACCTATAAAGATTTAAGTTCTTAGATTAAGAGGCTTGCCTGGCCTTGTATATATACACATAAACACAGGTGGTGGTGCCCATTTGGTAGGTTTATAACAAAACTGAAGTTCAAAATACACTTGATTTGACCTTATCTCACTCAAAATACAAAATTACCCACATAAAAAGAGAGAAAATTGCCCAAGATTGGTATTTAACTAGGATAGTGTAGTAAATTCCGCTAGGATTGCTGAAGTAATTGATGCTCATGAACTTCACTCTTTCTCTGTGACATTCATGCTTATCTCTAAGAAGGGTAAATAATACTCTTGTTCAATGGTAATTAATTGCAGACCCTTATAAGAGGAAAAACATTGTAGCTGTCCCTTAACTACACTAATTTGAATGCACGAGAAAGACACAAGACTCTTCAAACTGAACTTAGGCCAAGTTTGGAACCCTAATTAATTATTGTATTGCAGCCAATAAGTCAGTAAAACTATGCCAAGTGTACTGCCTCAATAGCTCTAGTTCTTGGAAATCTTTTGTCTTTTTTTCTTCAAATTAAGCATATATATATATATATGTATATAAATATATATATATAAGTCAGTAAAACTATGCCAACTGTACTGCCTCAACAGCTCTAGTTCTTGGAAATCTTTTATCTTTTTTTTTTTTTTTCAAATTAAGCATATATATATACACTAATGAAGTTCCATACTCTGGGTATGAATAGATCAAATGTAAGTAATAGGATTTGATTTTTTTTTAAAAAAAAAAAAGATTAAGTTTGGATTTTTTCCTTTTTCTCTTTTTTACAAGATGTTTGAATATTTGAAATCAATCTAATTGCTCTCTAGTTTTAAAGTAATCGATCAAAATATCATTTTTAATTTTAACGATCGATCAAAATGTCCTTTTTAATGATAAATAAAGTTAGTATCTTTTAGCAATCTATCATAGTATTAATTTTCATGATTGATATATAAAAATAACTGTTTTAACGGTTGAACAAAATAACATTATAAATTTAAATAACTATTTTAGCGATCGATTAAAATGTCGTTATAAATTTATATTGTAGATCAAATCTTTTATGTAAACATTTGTCCGTTAATACTTTATACATATTATAAATTAAGCATATATATATACACTAATGAAGTTTATATATATATACACACACACTAATGAAGTTCCATACTCTGGGTATGAATAGATCAAATGTAAGTAATAGGATTTGATTTATTATTTTTTTTTAAAAAAGATTTAAGTTTGGATTTTTTTTCCTTTTTCTCTTTTTTACAGATGTTTGAATATTTGAAATCAATCTAATTGCTCTCTAGTTTTAAAGTAATCGATCAAAATATCATTTATAATTTTAACGATCGATCAAAATGTCTTTTTTAATGATAAATAAAAGTTAGTATCTTTTAGCAATCTATCATAGTATTAATTTTCATGATTGATATATAAAAATAACTGTTTTAACGGTTGAACAAAATAACATTATAAATTTAAATAACTATTTTAGTGATCGATTAAAATGTCGTTATAAATTTATATTGTAGATCAAATCTTTTGTGTAAACATTTGTCCGTTAGTACTTTATACATATTATAAATTAAGCATATAAATATATATATATATACACGCTAATGAAGTTTATATATATATATATACACACACTAATGAAGTTCCATACTCTGCGTATGAATAGATCAAATGTAAGTAATAGGATTTGATTTTTTTTTAAAAAAAAAAGATTTAAGTTTGGATTTTTTTCCTTTTTCTCTTTTTTACAGATGTTTGAATATTTGAAATCAATCTAATTGCTCTCTAGTTTTAAAGTAATCGATCAAAATACCATTTTTAATTTTAACGATCGATCAAAATGTCCTTTTTAATGATAAATAAAAGTTAGTATCTTTTAGCAATCTATCATAGTATTAATTTTCATGATTGATATATAAAAATAATTGTTTTAACGGTTGAACTTATAAATTTAAATAACTATTTTAGCGATCGATTAAAATGTCGTTATAAATTTATATTGTAGATCGAATCTTTTATGTAAACATTTGTCCGTTAGTACTTTATACATATTATATACTTGATCTAACCGATTATGATCATATTTTCAGTCTGTCTCCAATTTAGGGCATTATGTTATAAGCTAGAGATAAATTGTGTTGCTAAAGGCAAGTAACTTCTATCCAAGTTCCTATTAATTACATGAGACTCCTTAATTAAAAATCTTAATTTGGTTTATAAGCTTGAGATGGATTTGGGGAACAAATAGAGAAGGGACATTTAAACAAGGGAATGGTAAACAACCTTTGATTCATCACAATTTGCCAAATTTGAAGCCATAGCAATAGTGGAGATGCATCATGCATGTAATATATATACTTCTTTTCTCCGGCCCTTCATCTTTAAATGTCAACATATAAGAGTAAGTGAATGTGTTATGTGAATCTTCGATTTGGATTATATCAATCTCTTTTAATAATTAACTTGAATATTGAGTACTTTTCTAATAACTATAATTTCAGTTAAGGAAAGATTATTTACACACATAATAATATATATACAAATTTCATATATATATATATATATTTGAAAATACAAAGATTAAATTGAAAAAAAAAATAAAACTTGAAAGAAAAAATAATGCATCTGTGTACGTAGTATTATCCTTTTATTAATAAATAATAACTATTCTCTATATTCTCAATTAAGTTTACATATAATAACTTAATTAAGCTTTTATGTACATAAGTAGGTAATGAATAATATAAGTAAACAGACAGAAATATATATATATAAAATATAAGCAAACATTCCCTTACTCATGTGATTGAAAAATCCAGTTAATGCTTTGTCCCGGTGGAATTGGCTTAGAGTTCGTCCTAAAAATGGTATCTCAAGGAAATGTAGTTTATTCATTTTTTTTTTTAATTTTTTGCATATAAAAAAAGATTACAGTTTTTATAAACAACTATAATTCCCTGTGTAAAATGACTACGGTTGTTTATAAAAATCGTTGTCTTTTTTATTTAACGTGTAATTTATTTATTTTTTAATTTAAAATTTTGACATATTAAATTATTTATTTATTAAAAATATATTTGCTTAATATTATTTATTGAAGGAAAGTAGTCGATATCATTTTTTAATTTAAACTTTAAAATATTATGTGTTCAAGATGATTTTGATGTAATTTTAATAACTTTAACATCAATGAAACCCAATTTTTGGCCCAATAAATCCCAATCATGCAAATTTTTCAAGCCCAATAAGGCTCATTAATCCCAATTAGTCTCATATATAATTTCCTGGTCAAGCTCAAATTTATGGCCAATAAGTCTCAGTTAGGCCCATTAAATCCTGCCTCAATTCGTCTCAAATATAATTCTTCAATGAGGATCAAATACAATTTAGTGGACCTATCATGCCTAAGTTTATGGCCCATTAAGGTGAAGTTGGTCCCAATTACTACACAACCATGTAGGCTGTGGCTCTATCAAGTTCTGATTTATCAAGTTCAGGTCCAGATATATAATCAACAACAATTTGCCCCAATTTTGCATCAATATCATACACGTTTCTTTTTATTACGATATTACGATTAGTCAATTATAATAAAAATTTATATCCACTTAAAAAATAAAAACTCTATATTTTTTTTTTATAAACGTCATATATTCTAAATTATGATTAGTTAATTGAGATGTAATAATTATAAATTATTGTTTCCAATATTTTGGCCCATTAACCTAAATTCTAATTTGCATGGTCATGTCCAATTTTTAGTAATAAGGGATTCTGGAATTTTGTTTAATACATTCTTTCTCTGAACAGGTTTATTTAAGTTGGAGCTAGCTAATTCAGGAAAAATTATTTTCACGTAGATTCCCTGCTATTTAAACTCAGATCACAAAAGGTTAGTTTAGTATTATTATTATGGTTGAAGAAAATTTAGATTGAAAGAAATACGTTTAAAAAATATAATGAAAAAAATATGATTAGAAAATTTAAGTGTTTGGCATTATTATAAAAAATGCTATAAATAATTAAAATGTTTAAAAATATACGTAAAATAATAAAATATTAAAAATATAAAAATAATAAAGTGATTTTTTGTTTATCTCAAACATATTTTTTCACTGCAAAGATATTTCTTAAAACCTCTTTTTTTTTCGTTTCGATTGAAATTTTAAATTTTTAAATTGAAAAACCGAAATTTTTTATTAATATTATGTTTAGATCAAAAACAACTTCTAAATGCGAAAATTATTTTCAGCACTAGACCAAAGAGAGTCGCGAGGGAACCATCCGTCGATAAATGGAAACTAGCCATGCCAAATCTGCGAAATGGCATAACATCCTTTTGGTGAAATTCACAAACAACAATTACAGGTAGACTTTTTTTATCCAAACTTAAAATAAAATAACCTTACATATAGTTAATCGTGACTGGATCACTAGAAGTCTTTTAAGTTAAAAAGGCCTTCTCAAAGCTGCAATGACAACGGTAACGTCCACTATATTTGAGCCTCACAGTCCCAACTGGCTTTGAACTTCAAGAATAGTCTCAGCCGATTTCCTAAGCCTTTCCGCCTCTTCATCCGTCAAATGGATATTGGTCACGCCCATGACTCCACCCCTACCGAGCTGCGCCGGCAAGCTCAAGAAAACATCACCACCATCAATGCCGTAAAACCCCTTTGCAAGGACCGAAACTGGGTGGATTTTTCTCTGGTCTCTAAGCAGGCTTCTAGCCAAGTTAGCCACCGAGTAGCCAATTGCCCAAGAAGTATACCCTTTGAGACTAATCACCTCATATGCACTGTCAATAACTGCTTTGTGAATGTCCTCAAGCGTCTGCTTTTCGTAGGCAATCTGCTGATTCTTTAGGAAGCTTAACACCGGCACTCCACCAATACTAATGCTAGACCAGAGTGCCACCGAGCTGTCTCCATGCTCGCCAATAATGTAGGCCTGCAAATATTTAACCAGCATTTGGAAATTAATGGAGAGACATAAGAATTAAAATTAGTTTACTAGCTGCTTTCTTGGGTGTGAATTTTGACCAAATCCTAACTATTATAGCACAAATGTATTATGACTTTTTAAAAGTCGATGATCGGATGAATTTAGGCCTTAGCTAATGAAAATTTAACAACAACCACATTTTCAACTAAAGAAAAGGTCATATTCTAATTCAAGCAATGGGTTATGGATGGTTTTGTTGTGAAATGAAATCAGCAACCAAAGTTGGTGACTTAATGGTAATTATGTTCACCAAAAAAAAAAATACTAAGTAAAATAAAATATAAAACCCCAAATTTAGTGACTTCATGGTACTAGTGATTAACAGGAAGATGCCAATAAACCTTTCAAAAAAAAATTTTTTTTCCACTAACAAAAAAGACATTGTGTCATTGGCCCATGCCACATTCCTTATTAACCAATAAGATGTGTTTAAAAAAAAAAAAAACCTTAAACCCTAAAACACTAAATTCTAAAAAAAATATTAAAATCAAACTGACCTGCACATCCTGAGCGTTGACGTCCAAATGATCCGCGATCAAGAACCGAAACCTCGACGAATCCAAGTTCGTACCCGATCCGATGACCCGATTCGATGGAAATCCCGACAATTTCCAAGACACGTAAGTTAGTACATCCACCGGATTCGAAACGATCAATAGAATCGAATCTGGCGAGTACTTTGCTAGCGGAGGAATAATGTTCGAAAACAAAGCAACGTTCCTCTGCAGCAGATTCAACCTAGATTCGCCGGGGTTCTGACGGGCGCCAGCAGTGACGATACACAGATCAGATCCAACGGTCACGGAGTAATCAACGGAAGCGTTGATCTTAGTACGTGGGAGGAACGCCGCGGCGTGTTGGAGATCGAGCATTTCACCACGAAGCTTGTCAGGCTTGGCGTCGACGAGGGCGAGTTCGTCCGCTAAGTCCTGAGTGAGGATGGTTTGGGCGATTGCCATGCCAACGTTTCCGACTCCGATGACGGAGATCTTGGTGTGGCGCTTGGTGGGGGAAGGTGGAGCATTGTTTTGGATGGGCTTGAAGAAGGCTTGAGCGAGGTCTAGGCCGCCTGGACCCAAAGAAGAAGCTGAACACTCTTTTGCATTGTAATAAGAGAAACAAAAATTGGAGAGAGTTGAAGTTGACTTGTTTGTTGTTTATGGGTTTCTTTGGAATGTCTGGATTGGGGATTTATAGCTGGAAAAAAATTGAGTGGAGAAGAAGGATTCTATGGGGTTTTCAGACATTTTCTACAGTCAGTCAACAATGTTGTTTCCAGAAGACGCACCAAACTCCGAAGACTTTGTTTCTCAGTGGCACGGTTGATAACTTGATATGGTTTAACATTCGATTCTCGCCCACGTAAAGACCACGCACCATTCTTTATGGAACCACTTGGCATTTGGCAACGATAATTAATAATCTTTTATTCCCTATATCCATATATATATTACTGTAAATATTTCAACCATTTGATCTTGCATGGTACAAATCTTCCTGGACAAGGGTTTTGTATTAGATATTTGGGATTGAAGTCTTGGAAATATTTTTTTAATTAAAATTTTTATATTTTTATTTTATTTAAATAAGTTTTTATTTTTATTTTGTATTTAAGTATAATTTTATTTTAAATAAAAGATTAATTTATAATAAAAATTTATTTAAATATAAATTAAAATATAAAAATTTATTTTGATATAAATTAAATTTAAAAAATTTATTTACATGTAAAGTAAAAACTAATAATTTATTCGAGTGTAATACAAATATAAGAATTTATTTAAATAAAATAATAAAATTTATAAATTTTTTATTATTTTATCTTATTTTCTAAAACTTTCAAAAGAAATTGAGGGGTTATCCATTATGCACGCGCTTCAATTGCGAGTGGATTTGGGCTTCTCCATATCACTGGGAATGAAGATGGACCGAAATGCATCATAAGATGAACGGTGATCTATGGATCATGATTAACAGATTTAACCAGCAAAGTTTGGTTCTTTATGCACCAGATCACGTCTTGAATTTTCGTTTAGCTGGGGTGCAAGTCACGCTACGCGTTTCGCAGTCGTGGTACAATAGGTTCGTACTTTGTCTGAAGTTCCCAATCTGTGGGCTGACGGTGCCTGTGCCTGTGCCCTTTTTTGATTTGATATTTCCTACCCTAAAATGGTATTTCATGTCCAAAACGCGTGAATTCTAGTAAAATTCACGCTAATCTTTGATTTTTAATCTACCCTCCATTTTAGGAGCTCTTGATAATTACAATTATTATAATGAAATAATTTTAATATATGTCAACAAAAATAATTGAAATTAACAAATAGGAATCCAATATATAATTGAATGAAATTTGCATTTAATAAAGCTTGAAGTTGAGATTAAAAACTCCATGACCTATCCCTTGTCATGAGCACAAAATTTCATTGGTAAAATATTTTTTATTCTTCATCCTGGATGATAATGGTTCTAATGCAATAGTCTTTATTATGTGGAAGACAAATTTATGTTATTATTATAGTATTTCATTTTTTTTTCATTTCCTTTCATATGGCTTTTGCAACATTTTTTTTTTTCAACATTGGAAGAAGTTTAGTCTCCAAACAAAACCGGCATAGCCCCCTGATTTGAATTGTAGATGGCTAATGCAAACGCCAACGGTTGCATTTTAAGACTTTGAGAAACCCAAAAAGTTCCTTTATTTGATCATGCCTCCAATTTATACTATATTTAATATGATGATGTCACATACTGACTTTTTCCAATTGCTTTTGACCGTAGTTAAAAAATATATATCAACGTCTCTTTATTTAAGTGATAAAAAATTTTGTTTTTTGAAGTAAGATCTTAATTTTTAAAAAATTATTATTTTAATAGGATCTGAATTAATTTAAATTTAAAATGACTATGGAACATTGAAAGTAAAAAAAAAAAAAAACTCTATAAGATTAATTCCAATCATAATTCATAAGCTAATAATAATAATTGTACTAAACTTCTAATAAAATATGTTAATTCATTTATATTAACATCATGATCTAAAAATAGAAGGCACCTTGGTTACTGAATCTGTAAAAAGGATATTGTGTAATGTTCATCACACAGATGAAAAGCACCCTTCATCACAGCTACGTTAGAGTCATAACTAATATAGTTATTATAATTTGGATAAAAATAGTTAGATCGGTCAAATTGGTGGTCATGTTATAATTGATGGTTGTTTATCAATTTTATTGTTATTACAAAATTAGTACGAGAGGTTTTTTCTCTTACAATTTATCGGCAAAAAAAAAAAATCTTAAGATATACTGATAATTAAATGAATAATGGAGTGATTTTGTTATTAGCAATCAATCCGGATTAAAATATTGTGAGTTGGCCATTTTATTAGAATTAAACTGATAAAACCAAGCTAGTTTTTATTGGAAAGGGTGGTTTAAGTTACGTGTTAGTAAAATGACCTAAAAATCATGGTTAGTTTAGTTTTTTTAATAAAATTTATGGATTGTTATGTCATTTAACCAACATAATATATTTTAAATAAATTTCTAATAACTAAAAAAAATTAAAAATAGGTTACAAACAAAGTACAGACTTTCAATTTACAAAGTTTAAAAAACCCAAAAACGAGTATTTTTTGAGTTATTTTATTATTTCTTGGAGTTAGAACTTTGAATTTAACTTTGTAAATTAAACATATTATATGTATTAAATTATATGAAATTTTCTCATATATATTATGCTATAAAATTTAATTTATTTTTTTGGTAAGACAAATTCAAGAATAAATAAATTATTCAATTATTTAAATATTAAATTATGATAAAATATGTTTTACTCAACAACTTAAAATCATATATTCAAAATGATTCAAATTAACGATCATCAACAGATTTCAAATTTTAAAAATTTATTTTTTAAAAAATTTAAATTTTAACTAATTGAATCAATTATTTATTAATAAATAAATTTATTATTTATAATATAATTCATTCCTATAAAAAATATTTTAAAATACTTTTATTGATTCAACCATTCATTTAATTGACCTAAAAATTGATCCATTGATCCGGTAAGTCGATCAATAATAATAATAATAATAATAATAATAATGATAGTGGTAGTAGTAGTAGGGCGAAGAAACCGCAGGCAATCCCTATTGGTTATTTGCTTCCTTTGGTCCATTCTTTCCCGTGTAAAAGACGCGAGAGCCAAACAGAGAAAAGAGACGACAAAATGGAGGCAGCGTTATCACAGCTAGAGCGATTCCAGACTCAAATCCTCGAACGAATATCGAAGCTAGAGTTTTCTCTCCTGCCTCAAAATGCTGAACCTCCCCTTTCCTCATCTCCTCTCACAAACGGCGACGTCAGATCCGACGTCGAAGTTCGCCTCTTTAACATTCTCCGATCCAATGGCGTCAACGGCTTCCTTTTCAAGAGAGTCCCCTCCGATTATTACGACTGGCCTCTCGAGTCCCGCCGCGACGTCCTCGGCGCCGCTTCTGTTCATCATCTTTGCAAAAGCATCGTTTTGGTTTGTCTTTTTACTAATTTGATAATCGGTCAATTTAATCTCATTTGAGTATTTTTTTTTTTTTCTAATTATGTGAATATGAGAACGTTGATTTATGTGAATATGTTTTATTGCTCGGAATTTGCTTGTCATTAGTTTGAATTTTGTTAAATTATATTAGTTAGCGAAAAAGTATGAGATTGGAGAAGCTATTAAGGAGTGCATCTAGAATTAAATTCTTTTAAAAATTCATCTAAAGTTGCAAGACATTTCATTTTTTTTAATATAATAATGAATAGATTACATAGCAATGCCTAATTACAAAATTGACAAAACAATGTTTGAAGTAATGTAGTAGCTGATATGAGAATGTTGTGGTTGGTTGCATCATAATATGTTTGATGCAAAAGTAAATAAATGAAGGTGGAAAAAGTTAGTTTAAGGAGGAGAAAGACAAATGCCTATTTGTCACCTTGTAAGAACAGTTGATACTAACGTAGCTTGATATTGTGGAGCAACAGAACTAGTCACTTGATGTGTCATATGGCTTGATTGCATCAATGACCAACATGTGCTGGCGTTTTTGAGATGATACACTTGTGCTCGCATACCTTTTATGTGGGGAAATCTAATGGTTCCTGAGAAGAATATTGTGTTAGGGTGATCAAATGTTTGAACTTTTAATATGAATAGTGAAATGTAGTCATTTCAATGCCAAGTTTTGTGAAGTGACATTTATTGGCAATCCACATATTATGCAGTTGCATGTTTGTATTAAGTATACTAAATATTTCAGCACCTCTCTTGGGCTTTTGCTTGGTGGATAAGTTTGGAGCCTATAGTGTCGAAAGCTTCTGCTAAGGTGGTCCATGTTTGAAGATAGAGATTATCCATAGTTAAGGGGTTCAGGACTGGAGGATTGTCGTGGATGGTTATATAGGTGGATTGAGCATTAGTGGTCCAGTGGAGTTTTAAAAAGTAAACTGCAAATCATTGAGAGAGCAAAAATAGATTTAGGCAGCCATTGTTGTTCAAACTGGAAAGCTGATGTACCAATTGCCAAGTGTTATTGTTATTCAACATACTTTGACGCACACCTATCTTCACTCCTTCCATTTTTATGATGACTTTTCATTTTCTTCTGCAAAAGACCATAAGTATGATTTGTAAAATCTGCTAACACTGCTTTGCTTGCTCAGGTTAATACTCAAGCCCAGTCCAATGTAATTGATTGTAGTGATCAAAACAATTCAAAGTATTATGTTGTTGTTGTTCAGGTAACTTCCCATTCCATATGTATCAACAAGATGCCACTTAGCCTGCCCCAAGAAAAATGATTTTACATTTGAACATTTTTCATATTGCAGTATACTGCTAGATTCAATGCCGAAACTGTCAAAAATTTTCTCTACACGCTTAACAATGGCAAGATATCAAAGAAGAAATTTAACTGTAAGTTTATCTGTTTGCAATCCTCTTTATGATAAAAAAGACTCCTGAAAAGTTCAGAGATATTTCATTGAAATTTTTATTAGATTATTCTAGCCATTTTGAAATGTGTTATTTATTACTAAAGACCCAAGACACACATGTAACTGTAATAAATCAAATGACATATACGTGACAGTCAATAGATAGCACTTGGTCTGGTGTAAAGATCCAGGCATATCTGATTATAGTTGATTTCAATATTATATTCTGGCAGGTTGGTCCTAATACATATCATTCATGCATTAGTAGTTAATGCTTAAGTCTTGATTAAGCTCTTTATGTGAAAAAGAGAGCAAGGGATTCCTCGTTTGTCCTTTCTTTTCTGGTAAATCTTGTTATTTGATAAGTTTCTCTAGATATATCATATTATAAATTGATTTAGTCAGAGTTGTAGAGACCTTCCTTTTATGTCTTTGTTGTCATCTTCTCTTTCCTTTTCATTATTTTAGTTTTGACAAGATAATGAATGTGGTTGGTGATAATGCATTCCATTGACTCACAAGAACTGTGTTTGCTTATATTTGGCGGCCTGCACTCTGTGTCAGCCTAGACACAACCATGGGGAATTGGGAGTCTGAACCTGTTTGTGTCCTGCACAGAAAAAAAATTTATTTAAAAGGGAAAACATTTGTTCATTTGTTGCATCTACTGAGGACTAGTGTCAGCATCAACTGAATGTTAATTAAGGGAAAACTAGAGAGTAATAAACTGCAAGCTTTCACCAACTCACCATTACATTTTTGGCCTTTATGCAAAATGTGTCTACTGACATAGTTCTTATTTGCCAATATGTTGTAAAACTCTCTGCTGTTCATCATTATCAACAGTAATATCTATTTTTTTGGATTTGTTAAATCATCTCTGAACATACAAGATTTATTCTTAACCCAGCTCTTAAGGTGTTTGATTCTTCTGTTGTATGGTCAAGTTGATGATTAATGTTTTCTTCTTAACACTACCATTTTTTATCCATATTTTTTATTCTTTTTTATTTATGTGCTGAAGAAACCATTCAACTATTGGTGCAATATTGACTTCTGTCTTTCTCTTTCTGGTTGGCAGATTTTACTTAAGGTTGAGATCTCCAAATGGTTTATTTAGTTAATCATTTAACTTGTTTTAAGTAATGCAGTGAGGCTTGCTCCTGAGGAGACATCAATAAAGTTGACTGGCTATGAGCACAATGCAGTTACTTGCATTGGTATGCAAACTGACATTCCAGTAAGTGCTCTTACGCAAACTTCTATATTCTAGCTTTACAGAACACCTACTAGTTTCTCATTTTCTTTTTTCTTCATCTCCCTTCGTGAGGATTATTTCTGTTCTTTTTTTTAGTATATTGATAACTTTGTGCATCTTGTATTACTCGTTATTTCTACTTGGTCTATCATTGTCTCATAAATGGATTGAAAATTATTCAATATAGGATTTATCTTCAGTTTGTAATGTAATATAATGGACAATAGAAAGGGAACAAGGACAGAACTTTCAAAAAAATGTTGGTTCATTTGCTTTTAAACTTCTACTTGCTTTGATGAGGTTTTTGTTTTGTAAACATGTTCTGGATACTTTTCTTTTAGACAATACCCACTTCAATGTCTGCCCTGTAGGAAGAGCACATGGGCCCTGAGGTTTGAATTGCATGGGTAGATATCCCTCCTCGTCATGCTTAGAGCCAGTTTTGATGCTCTATATACAGATATTCTGATGTTGAACAGTGAAAAATTCATGTTGTCTTTAAGTCTGTTACGTGTATTTGAGTATAGCAACACATGGAATCCTTGTTTATGAATTCCAATATTTCAATCTATGTGCAGCTTTGAGGTTTGTCCACTTTTCCTAATGTCAGCTCAGATGATTTGCTACCTGTCTGCCACATTGCGAAACGCAGTTGTATAGTTTTTTGGTTTTCTTGTCTGTATGTTTACGTATTCCTTTCACATGAGATGATAGTTTAGGTAAACTGGTAAAGATGGAAGCTGAAGATGCTTTGAAAATTAGTTGCTAGAATGAAATTTCTGTTATTCTTACTGTAGCTTTAGGCAATGTAACTTACCTGAAACTGGCATAGTTCAAATAATATGAAAGTGACAGTGCCCATTCAATTAGTGATCACAATTTGAGATGCTATATCGAAAATTTCTGTTCTCATTGAAGGTATGATCCATCTTGATATAGGTTAAATGCATGACCATCTCACATGCTCGTGCATGTATACATTACACAGTCAAATGCAGAGAGAGAATGAGTTCATGTTGGTCATTATACTTGTAATAACAGGAAAAGTTGAAACTGATTTCAGGTAATTTTGGATGAAGCTATAGTAAAGCTTAATCCTGATTTCTTCTGGTTGGGTGGAGGAGAAGTTGATTTGAAGCTTGGAATCAGAACCTCTGAATTTATCAACTTTCTCAAACCTTTCATTGTCAGCTGCAGTGGTGGTACTTGATTACACCTACTGAATCCATAAACTAAATAAGAAAGACATTATAACTCAAGACAAATTAGTAAAGACTTGAGGAAATGCCATTACCACAGAAATCCCACACGGTGGAGAATTGATGCTTCAGATTTGTAGCACAAACTTTGGCTTTTTCCTTTTATTGGTTTCTTTGGGTTATTAAAATTTTTAGGCAAATTGTGCAATTGGAGATTTTAGTCCGCTTCTCCATATATAGGCAAACCATGTACCTGCTGAATTTGTTGATTGGAATGAAATTTTAATTTCTTCGGGACAGCCTGAAAGTTCAGGTTTAGTTCTTTCTTGGTAATATGATACATTTGACCATTTTCAGATTGTCATCTATCGAGTTCAATTTACTTGGCAATGGAATGGTGGCACATGACTCAGATAGCCACGTTTTGCATAAATCTTGGCTATTGAATTCTATACGAGGAAGGGACAGAACAAGCATATGCAGGGTTTGCAATTGCCATGCGGAAGTGGTTAGGCCACTTTATGGCTTTTGACATCCTCCTGTTTCAGTGTGCCAGCTTTCCACTCAAGCTTGACGGCTTACACTACCAAACATGTAAGCCTATCATATTTCAGGCATAGAAATCTCTGAATCTGGGGTATATTTATTGGGGAGCAGCAAATATTGTCTAAGCCTGTATGCGTAAACTTCGGATTTGATTTTCCATGCAGGAGTATGGCAGTTGATTTCTTCAATTGAATGGGCGTCTTTTCATTAATGAAAAAAATTTTGTCAAGTGGCAATATTTGTCTCCTCATTATTCACAATCTCATTAATAACTATTATTATATAGACATCGATACCGCCATTATAACAAGACATTGTCCCATCAATTCACCACGTTCTTACAAGCCGTCTTCACAGTAACGTAGTTGAACAACTTGGGTTATTTCAAAGGAAGCTGAAACTGTTACTACCCAAATTTATCTTCAGCATAGTTGTAGAGTGAGGTTTGGATTTTAACTTCTTTTTTTTTTTTTTTTTGACATACAAAGTGCCCTTGAAACCATATGTAATATTTTTGTTTTCTCTTTTAAATGAAACTAGAAGGTAACAATAACATTATGGACAAGATTAATTAGCAGTCTAGTTTTTTTCATTGTGAATAGGTGGTTTCCGATGGTGTCGTGCATAATCCATTACGTCAATGTACCCCACGTTATCCTTTTCTTTGGAATCAACAGCTTCCTCTGTGTCACCACCTGAAGTTCCCAACATGGATCTTGTTACTCTCTTTAACCCCTATACGAACAAGCAACAAACAATCTTAGGATATGGTTGATCTTGAAAACATTCACCTAGATATATTAATGATACCATGTTGGAAAACAATGAGTTTTAACACGGGGTTGAAGTTTATGAATTTGTTTTAATTTTAAAAAGGTAGGTTCTCGTATCTCTCATTGTCTTTTACATTACTTGCATTTCCATGTCGGGATATATATGCCCAAGGCAAGAGAAAACGATGTTAGTTATTTCCTCTCAAAAATTCTTTTGGAGGTACATCTTTCAATTTTTTTTCATAGTAAATATTAGTAGTGAAGTTTTTACTCAATTGCATGCAACACATTCATTCATGCATGCACGTGAAGACCATCTGCCTTCTGTCTTGATATGCTGAAGAAGATGGGCCATTAGTAGTCTCAACCACTACTCTTAACAACCTGAAACACACACAAAATCTAGATTCTGAAGATATGATTTTACCTCTACTTTTTCCTTGGTTTGCAAATCAACCCGAGAAGAAATGATAATTTCATATCCTGTATGCACATATGAGCAAAATTGCCAGCACCATCAATATTATGAAACAAGGTGCAAAACCAAAGCTGGATTTTATATATATACGTACAACAAATTTTATTTATACCAATACTATCTACGACACAGAACAGATAAAGTCGTTTGTGATCATATGGTACTCTTTACTCTTTATTAAGAAATTAAGGTTTAACATTATACAACAACACAAAAATTTTATTCATTTTAAGGGCCTATATATGTCGCGGCTGAAATAAATGGTGGGAAGCCTAATCAAGACAGTTCAAGTTTAATAAGTTGAAATAATGGCAATAGTTTTTATTAGTTTTAATTTATATTCTTTCATGTGAATACCTTAAATCAAAAGAATTTTCCTTCACATTTCTTGTTGAATTCAGAAAACGAAAGACTAATTAATTCGAATATAACCTGAAATTGCTTTTGCAACAGCTTCTTTTGCCTTAAGAAAAGAGTTCAAAAGTGTTTGCTTCACATTATTTGCACCAACTATTTTTCTTCTATGAACCCCAACTTGTTGTAACTCTTGTGTTTGTAGTTCCTTTGAGACTGAAGGTCTCATCTCTAACTGATCATAAGGTTTCAGCTTATTGACATCCTGCATCAAATTTATTTATAGCTTAGGAATTATAAGAGACCAAAATTTTAACATATATTTTCTGCACTAACCTTGGCAAGAAAATCGACATGATTGGAAATTTCTTCAGCAATAAAACCTAGACGACGAGCATTGCAAGCATGCACTGAAAGACAGAGAAAGAAGATAGCAAGGGAAGACATGATAATGAGAGAGCATAGTTCTGATGAAAGATGGTTTATCAGCTTTAAGAAACAGAGAAAAAACTATATGTGGTCAGGGGTGTTAGTTCAGTGTTAGGTTTTCCAAGTACTTGTACTGATAGAAGCATCGAAGGGCATTAAACGCAAGTTTTGTATTGAAATGAAAACGTTCTTTAAGAGAACATGCGGGTGTTCAGATGATGAATCCTGAAAACGAAATTGAAGATAATCGGGGGCCTCCCTTTTTCCCTTTACTCTTCACTTTTTAATCAACTTGGGTCCCAAAGAAAGAAGAAAGAATTATAGAGCTATACGTAGGGGACATATGCAAGGTCTCAAAGATATTAAAAAGGGAGATTTTATTCGAATTTATGGTACGTATAATTTAAAAAAAAACTATCAATAATTTGTAAATTGTAATTTGTAAATTGAGACAGAAATTCAAGGCAATCTGATTTATGTTGGAATTGCTAACATAATTGATGAAGAAAATTGGATGGAAAAAAAAATCTGATTTCTGTCGGATGATATATAGGTGATGATAGTTTTGTAATCTTAAGTATTATGAAAACATGCAAAAAGGAAAATTAAATATGATATTATAATTAAAAGAATTAAGAGGAATTGAAAAAGAAATAAATATTGAAACACATTGATTATTATTCAAAGGATTTGGAATCAGGGTAAAGAAGCAAAACAATAAGCAGCAACAGTAAATCAAGGTCCTACCATGTGTTTCTGCTGAGGAAGTCCACTCCTTGCCCGTAATTTCTATGGTAGAATTATTACTGCATGGCCTTTGATTATTTGTTTTTGTTTGATCATTTCATTTTCGTATAGTTTTCTTCTTCGAAGGTGTACGGAGGCAGCTCATGAACAACTTCATGTTTATAAAAAATGGAATTTTCATGAAAGAAAATATTGAACTCAACTAAAACCTTGACGGATAAATATGATTTGGTGTCAACTGTTTTATAAGATTTTATTGTGTGAAAAACTGGTCTTGAAATCATTTCATTTTCTACTCATTCATGATCACACATTTATGAGATTCTTAGTTGACAAAACTAGCTACAAAATCGAAGGAGTGATTTTCAAATGAGGCATCGTTTACCTATGAACAGGAAACAACTTTGTCTGGCTTTGGGGTTTGGTTTCTTACCGGTATTTAGGATGATTAGGACCATTCCCTCCTATTGAGTAACTTTAAATTAGCCAGTTTTAGCTGCCTGATGTCTCACTCAAATAAATAATCAGAATTCTATGCTGAAAACATCAAGAAAAAACTTTTCAAACTCTATAATTAACATCCAAGAGGAAAGCAATTTAACAACTTAAAATCTGTAAAACAGATCTTTATATTGTAATGAAACTTGTGTATTTCATTCTCATGTACCAAAAAACAAAACCATTCATAGAATTTATAAAATAGAATAATATCTGTAATCAAGCTAAAACTATATATATATAGAGCCATAGAGCAGCTTTTGCCCATGAAGGGATTATTCCAAGCCCCAATATTTTTATAAATTAAGTGATAACCAAATATATATGCTTGTAATTGTAGATACAAAGCATCTATATAAACCTTATAGCTATCCTACCATAATTAAGGATATGGATGAGATTCAAATTTGGTGTTCTTTACCAATGCAATCGACCATATCTGCTAAGTATAATATTTCATACAATTCCATTAGGCTCTAGAATAACTCATTAAAATTTTTTATTTGGATGTTGTACCTGATCACATTAGGGAAAAAAAAACATCGGAATCAGATTGAGAACACCTTAAAAAGGGTAATGAAAACAACTTAATTTAGAGGTTTAAATTAACTAGTCGATTTGGATGAAGTCGATTGAATGAGCCTTATATTGACATGCATGTGGAATTAAATCATGTGTGGAACTAGCATTTATCACTTAAGCGAGAGGGGAGGGGAAGGGTGCAAACTGCAACATGGAACACATGGGTCCGACAGTGGAATGGAGGAAGGGATAGGGGCCAATGGTTTCAAGACAAAGGTGCATGGCCAAACCGCCGCTTGCATCTCCTCTTGAGCCTTTGAAGGCCATGGAGGGTCAAGTTTCCCTATGAATTGCCCGCATAGACCATGCATGCCACGTGACGTTCACTCCATGTGATATTCACATATCCTTATGCTGCCACGTTAGTCAATGGGGCCTTCATTGGGTGTCCCCTAGCTCGGCATTTGTCCATGTCAACGGTCTAGCTTTTGGTTTAGTTTTTGTCTCGTAGCCTCTCCATGGGCTGTGAATTGGGCATCTTGGCCCGGTGCACTGGGCTAGAAACGTGGTCCTGACCAACTGGCAGCGATGTGGACACATCCAATAGTCTCCCATTGGGACCCAAAGCTAAAACCCAGGTGGTATTTGGTAGGTAGGAAGGCAAGAGTTTGGTATGGAATCTAGAGATTAGAAATTTTATCCTAAAACAAACAAATTAGACCATGATTACAGAATTAATATAAGCAACCAACGAGATTGGTACTGAAATCGACTCAAAGACTAAGAGTTTCAAGTTTGAACCTCAATCATAACCCAAAAGGCAAGAAGAAAAGAAAAAAACTAATATAGGCATGGTTCGGGTTCATGTGATTTGATTCTAATGTTTAGGTAATCCATATTTAAAAGCTTAGATTTCAATCTCTCAAGTGCTTAACAAGTAAAACAATATTAGACTACTTCGTGATTTAAACTAGTGACTCACCTTTTTGCTGAATTATCGAGACAGATAGGAGAGGATAATATTTTACATGCAAATGTTCCAGCTCCTAGTTACAATGTGAATCATATGTTCTTCCAGGTTTTCAGCTCAAGGTGTCTTCTTCTAAAACCAGGTCCTAAATCCTTCATATCAAAATCTGTGTGAATCTTATTATTGTCTTTTTCTTCACTAGTACTCTCTCTCTTATATCTTGATAAGGAAGATATACAACACGCAAGCTCATTAAAGATTAAATAACAGTTTGACAGCCCATTACGCAGCGTAAAGCCACATACAGAGCCCCATGCTCCTAGTAGGGTGGCTCAAAATAAAATTTGCTTCAAACACAGTGCCAACAATGATAGATATAAAGATGATCAGATGGAACTTTAACAATGTGCGAAATCTTAAAAGTAATATCATATTATATACAATATGCAACCGTACACCATATCATCAGCAGGTCTTTAAATACTAGCAATAACCAAATTACCATCACAAGGCAATGGAAATGGTGATGCCTGAGATAATATAGGGGTTCGGTGAAACGAGGAAAAGATAAAAGGCAACGTCCCAATGAATCTACCAAAGGCTACTGAGAACTCTGATGCCCAAATGTGTTCTCCCCACTGTAAGTAACATAGAGAAATCCATCTTCATCCTTCTTCTCCTCGTATAGGGCAGACATAATGGCACCTGCAAAACCAAGAATAAGTTAGCCCTCTTAGAATCTGCTAGCAAAGGTAAAGCATCAAACACCCAAGGGTATAATTTGCAAGGCATTACCAGTTGGTGGGAGGACATTGTCCACAAATATGAATATTGCTTTTTCTGCACTCAGTTTGATCCTTTTACGTATTACATATACAAATTGTCCAACAGTCAAGTCAGCTGGGACAAGGTACCTGTAAATTTCAGAATCATTTACACGGGCATGCTCTCTATCAGAGACTATATAACCAATTACTATGAAACAGCCATGGTTTAGTGTAGGGAAAAAGTATTAAAGAATGAAATGTTGATTGCAGATGGAACAGATCAATAAAAGGAAATAATAAAAAATTGAATGATTCCATATCTCCAAGGCAACCAATTGGTATAAAAAACAGGGATAGCTTCGACATTAACATCAGAAGGATAGTATGAAAAAAACATAGTAGGATCATCAGCATTTTATTAACATCATCAAATCTGTCTTCAAAAACCATCAATAACTTTCTTTCTAGCTAGTGATGTCTATCATCACAACCATTGTGCCAGATGGAGATGCAATGCGACAAGGATGGAGAATTCAACAAACTAAAGCAGAATGTTGTTTTAACAGAATAAGGCAACAAATCAAGAGAATCTAAAGCCATGAATAAAATAAGGTGATGCTTACTTTTTCTTGTCTATGTTTGGTATATCACTGCTCTCTGCCTTCTCCACAATCACCTTAAACATTAAGCAGGATAATAAACAAGTCAAGCTTAGAAACACAAGTATGTTATAACACTTATAATCACCAATGAATATGCAGAACTACTGCAAAAATGCACATATTAGATCATAACAACAAAAGATTTATCAAGATTGAAGGTAAAGTTCAATCCTCACCGGGATTCTATCAGGGTATTTCTCCCTGATCCTAGCAGCCTCTGCCTTCCTCTTCTCTGAAGCCAGAACCAAACAATACATTTATTTACCAAACATAACAGACTTCAAAGAATAAAAAAAAAGTTCTTTAAAACCAAATTCACAACTAAATAAGGGATGCCATCACAGTACATACCAAGATCATGCTCTTGCTTGAAGTAACCCTTTGCCATTCCTCCTGAAATTACCAACCAAAATTAAGTCAAAACACTTCCTTTTTCAAGAAAAATTCCTTCTTTAATTCTTGATGAAGTCCTAAAGTCTTAATAGCCATGATGGAGCAAAAAATATCTTATGGCCATCTATTCATGGACAAAAACAATTCTAATAAAAGATTCAGATACACAATAAAGTCCAAAAACAAATCCAAGAAACCCCAAACCACCCAAGTCTTATCCCTGACCACAAAATTGTTTCCTTTGCACAATTTTCTGAAGGAAAAGAATGAAAACAAAAAGCCCTAATTTTCAATTTAAACAATACTTAGTAATTACCCACACAAAAAAAAAAAAAAGAAAAGAAAAGAAATATGCAAGAAACTAGTAAAACATAAAAAGGAAAACCCAGAAGGCAAACCTTGTGAAAATGAACCCAAAAAGAAAGCTTTTTTCTTTTTTTGGATCAACAGAACTCTTCAAGGCTTGAAGCTCGTGACTTGCTTCAAAAGATAAAATAAATAATATAGGCGGAATTCCACAGTTTTATTCTTGCAGCCAAAGCTTTTTTTTGTTTTAATTAATGATGTTGAAAGATTTAAAAAATGCCTTTTAGAATCCCTAATGTGTTGTCACTCATAGGTATGAGTAAACGTGGATTAATTTCATTGGTTTTCATTGGTTTTGATCTTTGTATTATAAAACTAATCGTAGTTGGTTACGGTAAAGACGACAGATCATTTTGATCGGTATCTGTTTTTTGGATAATGGTGGAAATGTATGTACATCCAACGGCCAGAAGAATGATGATCATGAGACAGGGACAATGAGTTGGATCTTGGACCCTACCCCAGTCTGTTTTGACTGCTTTGACCCCGTTGTCCTTTTTTTTTCCCCAAAGGTTTAGCACTAATTTCGTGCCATAAAAGACTTACATTAATTTATTACAAATAAATATTAAATTTAAATCTTAAAAATGAATATTTCATTTTTATTAATTCTATCAAATTCCTCTTGTTTAGTCAATAAAGCAACTAAGGTTATGAAAATTGAATTGTCCTTAGCTTTCCTAAACAAAGGGGAAAGAGGATTATATCGGTATCATTTCTCTATTATTGTTTCGGTAACTTTGAAAATCTTTACGGAGGGATGCCAAAGGGACAGTAATTTTACATTGCGGACCAACCGATCAAAGCTTTGTGATCACAATTCACCGGTTCACATTCACATGCAGTGTGAACCTTTTTAAGTTAGGTAGCAGTACTATGTTCTAGAGAAGAGAAGGGAAACATTTAGGCAGCTAGCTAAGCTTAGCTATTTGTCATGTCTCCATCAATTTCCATTCTTGACTGATAAATTTGTAGGCCAGACACTCCTCATCCACGTCCATACTCTGGTCAATCACTATTGATCCGGGTGTCCAAACATTTTATCTTAGCCACGACATGGGACGACAAAAACATTCTCAAAAATTTCTCAACTGGTTTGGCCCAAATTCTTTCTTTTTTAAGCTTTTCAAAGCCCATTGGAGAAAGAGCCTGGACAAATTATTGTTCTCAAACTACCCAATCCGGGCTACTTGGGCCCAGTGGAGAATTCAAACATATGTTTCTTTTTTGGTCCTTGAAATGTCGAGAATTGAATGCAGTAGTAACAGAAAAAACAAAGTTTTGGTACGTATGGAATGATTTGTATTTTCATGCTTTTTTTTCTTGTGGCCACCACCCGACAGACACCCAACTCATCATGCCCTATGATCTACTAAAGCCATAAAACACTTTATAGTCATATGCAATAATTGGTTAATTAATTAGAATTTTCCTTATGATGGCCCAAATATGTTGTCATTGTTAGCTTTATATACATAGTGATAGTAATATTTAAATCAGCGCTACAGATTCATTTCAATGACTAATGATCTCTGAGTCGTCCTCCTTACTTATGCTCCAAGTAACCCAATTATGTTGGCTAATGATCAATTCATCAAGTTGATATATGACTCTCCACTGATTCATCCGATAGCCTAGGGGTGGATGAGAGGCATATGGTTAAATCTAACAAAACATTGAATTCTTTTGTGTCTTTGGATATCTGTTATTTTCATGTAAAACAATTGCAGAAATCAGGATTGAAGTGCTTAGGATTCGTCTATCATTTCTCAAGCAACGTAATGAAAAAACAAATGGGGGGGGGGGGGTTGAATGGGAACTTTATATGAGGTGGGAGAAGATTGAGGAAGGTATGGTCATTAAGGCTAAAGTCAGTCTGATATATCATTATCATAATGGTTAAAAGCTGACTAAAGTTGCATGAAGAATTAATATTACTATAAACAAAAAGTCCACAGCCTTACAGTTTGAAAGGTCATTAAAGATGGGTAACATTGATTTTAGCATTCCAATGAAAAATCCAGAATAAAACATATATTATACTGAAATGATCTTCAAAGTTAACTGAGCTATGTTGTCCGTTCATTTATATATGATGTGAAAACTGCATACCCATAACCCAAGCAAAAGCTGCTTTGGTTATGGTGCTATTCCTCTGATGATTGAACCTATTTGTTAAACGCTAGCCGAAACCCACGATTTTAAGGCAACAAGGAGAACAGCCTTTGCTTATTTGTAACTGGGTGTGAAAGCTTTTAACTGAGTCAATTGCTCCAGCTATTACAGTTTACATCCCTTTCAGCAATAATAATTTATTGTCTAGTTCCCAAAGGCATCTGTCGAATCAAACCAAGACAATTGGTCACAACTTATTTTTTTTGAAAGCCTCTTAAATGGCAACTTCTTAGGTAAATTTCTTTGACCCTTAATGTAAAGAAATCTTTGTCTTTTTTTTTTTTTTTTTGCATCTGGACACATATAAATCGTGTTAGGATTTGAGTTTTGAGTGGTCATCTCACTGCTTTTGTCATTTTTTTTTTTGTATTTATTCAACGCCATCGAAAAAAATTTGTCCTTACCATACTCATGTTTAATGCAGCTCAAAATTTTCCAATCTGCTCCCAATGAAATGCTTTCAAAATGGTTCAAGCCCAACCAGCCAATGCAGAAGACAATCTTTCAAAATAATGAGAAAACCCCCATAAAAATACAAAGAGAGAAAAGAAAAAAAAAATTGAGAAGTGGGGCAAAGAGGAGTAGAGTTGTGTCACTTTCGACTTCATAAAACGGAAGGGAGAGATTTTGTTTAGGCGTCAAATGAGCATAGAGATAAAAATAAAACCTCCTGAAATGTCCAAATCATGTTTTTCTTTAAATCTTCTTTTGTTTAATGCATATATAATATATAAGAATATGGGCAAGGGAACGCCACTTTTAGAGCTATGCCTCCAACACTGCCACTGAGCAGTTCCTATCATTGTTTTGTTCTTCTTCTTCCTCTAACGTATAGACAATTGTACGGGGAAAACATACAGAGATCCATTTGAGGTGTGTTATGAATTTTATGCTAAGGTTTCTTTTTTTTTTTTTTTTAAGAAAAGGGCTGAAAAATATATACTAAAGGGTTTTGTAATAGATTTTTTTTCATTCATTTATAGCTGGCATATGTAGAAAAAAAAAGCATAATTGAGATGATCAAATTGGCTTGACTTTGAAAATTGAAGTGCTTGATAAGGTGCGGGCCCTGTAATGATGCAACCTAATCTATCTGTTTAATACTAAGTATGATACAAAAAGAAAAGGGAAGAAACCTCAAATCCTATGTTGACAACCTGTGTTCAACACCAATCCCTAATTATTAACCATTTGACTGATATATATATATATATATATATATATAACTTCATTATAATGTTAGACATTAGAGGCAAACTGCTGTTGAAAATATGCCTAGCTCTTCATACTAGATGAAGCAGTTCTTCCAAAGATTGAATGCTTTGTTTGTATACAATTTGAAGAAAAACAAAAAGCAAATAACCAATTATGATAAACTATAGTTTTAGTACTTTTTTCCCCAAAAAATTCATCAACATGATTTTTTTTAATACAATTGATCCATTTTTTCTTTAAAATTTTGTTTGCCCTACATATTACACAAAGCAATTAGCACTTGAAACTTTCTCCTAATATTATTAAGCAAAATATTATTTTAAAATTCAAATCTAATTCAATTAACTTATATAATTATTTTTAATATATAACATTTAATAAATTTAAAATTCACAAAAGACAGCAAAATACTTTTAGAGATGTAAACTATAGTAAATTAAATGATAAAAACAAAAAGTGATAGCAAATGGCAACATTGAAGAAAAAAATTGCTAATCTAATCAACTTAAGTAGTTGGGCAAGATTTTCAATTATTGGCTTTACCCTATCCCAGAAAATCCCCTATACAAAAAAATGTTGCTTCCACTTTGATAATTTGATTAGATAAGCTTCGTTGAAAGCTCATCTTAACCTAATTAAATTGTTTTATATTTAAAATTAACAATGATGGAGTTATGATTTTAACGGGATATAAAATTTATTATTGAAGAATTAATTTTTAAAAATTTTAACTCTTTGATTTAATGATTAAAAACGTTTAAAAAAAATCAAAAATTTAGTTTGGAGTTAAATTTTTTTTTTATTTATACTAAAATTTTATTCTTATTATGTAATAAAAAAAAACTTTTAGAAACGTTTGAAAATCAACCAATGAACACTAATCAATCACTCGTAATAATTAACTTTTGACGTGACATTATTAGCATAATATAATATTGATTTTCATATCGAGAACCAAAGCTCGGAATGGAACAAAATATCGTGATAAATTGGGGAACAATGTTCAGACAAAATGATAATCTTTTAACCTTTAACACCGAACTCTGTCGCAGTGAAAAAGCTTACTGTACTTACTACCAACAGCTGCAGATTTAAGGCTTGCATGGCAACCTCTGATATTATCTCTGGATCATAAGGGTCTTTTCGTCATATTTGGTAAACTTCTAGTAAAATTGTAGACGTGACGTGTGAGTTATGATAAGGTACTTCAATACGCATGCCAAGAGGGAGTGGAAAACAATGCTAACCGTAAATCAATCAAACAACGGTAATCACAATGTCTCTCTCTCTCTCTCTCTCTCTGTGTCTGTGACTTTGCCGCCATTCATACGAATAAGACTCGAAAGCAATGGCATGCTTAACTTACGCTCTGTTATCGTCGTGTGGAAACACTCCGTCCAAAGTGGGGCCGTAATCCAGAAAGATGAATATGATTGGACCGTGTCGTGAATTCTCGTTGGACGTGGGCCGTAAGCTTTCTTTTCGGAGTTAACTTTTGATCCCAACGACTGATAGTTATCACCTTGTTTGTAACTAATAATTTTTCTAAGTCTCTTTTTGGGGGATTACTATTTTCTACTCTCGCTTTCCTTTTTTTTTTTTTTTTTTCAAACAAAGGTTTCAAACAGCAGAAGCCGGGAAAAAGTTAAAGTTCTATTTAAATAATTTTTAATTAAAATAATAAAATATATATTAAAATATAAAAAATTAATTAAATTAAATTATTCAAATAAAATATTAAAATATTTGAATTTGATTCATTTGATAAATTAAATTATTTAAATTCAATTCAATAATAATAAAATTAAATTTAAAATTTATTTTAACTAAATTTAATTAATTTTTGAGTATTAGCATACTATTTATATTCATAATTTCATAAATACAATCTTCACGGTATGATGTATAAAATTAAAACTTTCTTTACTTTTTTTATATTTTTTAAAAATTTCTTTCTATCAATTTCTTTATAAGAAAATAATAAAAATTTTAAAAAAGAGGTACTTCCTTTTTTTTAAAACTAGCTAATATATGAATTTTTTTTAAAACAAGCCACGCTTTTACTTTCGTATCTGACTCGAATTATATATTATTTTTTAAATATATATAATATTATAATATAAATATTAAATATTATTTTAAGTATTAATATTTTAAATGTTAATAAAAAATATTTTTATTCTTTTTTAAAAAATTATGAGTGAGATTGAATTGTACCACTTAATATTTTTGACAAAATTTACGATTATGATTTTCGGATCAAATTTAAATAAATAAGAAAAAAAAACAATAGGGCAAAAATATAAACGACCCATTGATAAGTAATAAAGAGAAACTTTGTGGGCAATTCAGGGACAGTAAGATCATTAGCTTTTGGCCAATTTTTTTGGCTTTGATTACAGCCCCGGGCCGGGGGGGTGGGTGTCTTTCTATGTGAAAAATTAAGTGTCAATCTTTTCATTGGTCTGGGTGCCCTGCCTTTACCTGAACATTGCAACCTGAAAAAAGTCCATTATAGAGTTATGACAGGCACTGCCAGAAGATTTCATGTTTTTACATTTCATTATTATTTTTAGTACAATACCTATTACTAGTAAACCCTGGCCAAAAAAAAAAAAGTACTAGTAAACAAAGTTTGTCCACGCTCTACATTAGTCATTAATCAAATCAAATGTTCTTGATCCATTTCCTTAAAAAAGAAACAACTTTGTCACAAGATCTATGAACTGAAGAAAAGTGAATAGTTACCTCAAATGTATATCTGCCAAAGAGCAAAAAGCTACGTATATTTTCAATTCAGCATGTTAGCATAAAAGGAGGGGCTGTAGTGTAATTACAATGGCAAGTGCCCAAAAGGTCAAGAAAATGGAGCACCCAGATGGAGTTTTGCCTGTTACCAGTTACCTTGTTTTTTAGTATGGTAGTGGTAAGTATTGTGTACCTTTTTAAATAGGGGAAAGACAATACAATAAAACTGAAGGGGTGACAGTAACCCCAGCATTGTAGAGAGAGGAGAGAGGGAAAGATGGGTGCATAAAAAAAAGGCCAAAAAAAAAAAAAGAAAATGGGAAAATATATTGAGAGAGAGAGAGAGATAGGGACGAGAGAGAGAGAAATGGAGAAGACGGAGAGCACTATATTTACCTTTTTTATGATGCACGCATCCAGGGCAGAACAGAGAAGGGTACAGAGTACAGCTACGACATAGAAGAAGAAGAACAACAACAACAAAAAGAAAAAGAAAAGGGGGAAAAAGAAGTGAAACTACATGATTACCCGCAAACAAAAACAATAAATTACAGCAATTCAGCGGTAAGGCCATAAACTCCACCCAGAGAGAGGGATAAAAGAAGGAAAGTTGTAAAAAAAAAAAAAAGAGAACTGGTCTTTTAGAGGGGGGAGTAGAGAGATGGAACTAAAAAAATGGAGTTGTTGCATGATTGAGTGGGTGAGATAGAGGGAAAAATGGAGCTTAAGAGAAAGAGAAAGAACCGGGTGAAGGATAACAAAAGGAGCTATTTTGGTGAAATGGATCTTCTTTTATTGAAGTTAGGAGATGGGTTTCATGGCATGCAAAGCAAGATGGGGTGGGTTTGATAAATCTTGAAAGAAACCGTATATATAATTTTATTTTTCTAGGATAAAATCTTGTCTTTCTGTTATCTCTGATCCTTGAAAAAAAAAAAAACAGCTTCTTTGTCTTTTCGCTTGCATACAATACAAATGCACTTTCAGTTACAGGCTAAAGGGGCGGTAGAAATCGTGGGTTTTGGTTCGATTTGTCAACAAGACAAGTGGATAAAGCAGCAAGAAGCTAATAGCTTTAGCTTTGCAAACAGCTTCCACTACAACAACGAACAAGAACCAACTTCTGTTCTTCATATGAGAAGAAGCCAAAGCCCACCCACATCAGCATCCACTCTTTCTTCTTCTTTCAACGGCGGAGCCACCGGTGCCGCCGGCAGGGGAAATTCCACCGACAACACCACCACCACAGCGGCCACCATAGCACCACCTGAGACTCAACTTCCAAACAACAACAAAGAAGAATGGGCCTCGGAGCTCCAACTGATCCCGAGTGAACTAGACCTTGTTCCAGGGCCGGGAGCTGTTCAAAGATGCAACCTCGGATTGGAAGATTGGGAGACTATGCTGTCTGAATCAGCCGTGTCACCAAGTCAAGACCACTCGCTTCTGCGTTGGATCGCTGGTGACGTGGATGACCATTCTTTTGGTCTCAAACAGCTGCTTCAGACTGGGAGTAGTGGTCCTAGTCAGGGTCTTGAGTTTGAAGGCAATGCAGGGTTGGGAGTTATTGATCAAGGTCCAGGGTTTGACCCAATCGGTAGCCTTGTTAGTTCTGGTCCTGTTAATGTGATTTCAAGTGCTGCTCATAATTTGGGTGGTTTTCCTGGTTCTGGGTTTATGCCAAATGCCAACAATAATGGGAATGGAAAGATTGGTTCAGTCATGCCAAGTTGTTCTTCAGTTGCGGTGGTTAACAATCACAAGGTTCTTGGTCCTACTGTTGGGTTCAATACGAATATTCAAAATCCAATGTTTACTTCTCCAGCCGAAAATATTGGACATCCTGTTTCTTTGCCTCTGCTTTATCAACAGCAGCAACAAGGTCAATATCTTGAAAGCCAAGAAGAGAAACCTCAGATTTTGAACCCTCAAATTTTGATGGGTCAGCTACATCATCCGCAAAATCCAAACTTTTTCTTGCCATTACCTCAAGAACAACAGTTCCTTCAGCCTTTACCAAAGCGCCTCAATCCTGGTAACTTAGAACTTTCTTCTCCGATCCCAAAACTGCCATTTTCTGATGCCGGCCATGACTTGTTTATGAGAAAGCAGCAGCAACAGCTTATGGGGTTTCCTCATGGTGTCCCGTTTGTTCCTCAGCAGAAGCCCCTGATGGTGGCAAAACAGAAAGTGTCGAGTCCAGAAGAGGAGATGGCTCAACAACAGCAACAACATCAGTACCAGTTACACCAGCAACAACAAGCCACATTGTTCGAACTGCTTTACAAGGCTGCAGAGTTGGTAGGGACTGGGAATTTTTCACACGCGCAAGGGATATTGGCGCGGCTCAATCACCAACTGTCTCCAGTAGGAAAGCCCCTTCAAAGGGCTGCTTTCTACTTCAAGGAGGCTTTGCAATTACTTCTCCTCATGAATAACCCAGTCTCTCCCCCGCCTCCAAGGAGCCCCTCCCCTTTCGATGTTTTCTTCAAAATGGGGGCTTACAAGGTCTTCGCTGAAGTATCTCCGCTTATCCAATTCGTAAATTTTACCTGCAACCAGGCCCTTCTTGAAGCACTTGATGGTGCTGATCGGATTCACATTGTGGACTTTGATATTGGATTTGGTGCTCAATGGGCTTCCTTTATGCAGGAGCTTCCCATGAGGAGTAGAGGAGCTCCCTCATTAAGAATTACTGCCTTTGCCTCACCTTCAGCGCAGCACCCTATTGAGCTTGGGCTTATGCGTGAAAATCTTATGCAGTTTGCTAATGAAATTGGTGTAAGTTTTGAGCTTGAGGTGCTTAATTTTGATTCTTTAGATCAAACCCCTTATTCTTTGCCTATGTTTCGGTCAAATGAAAATGAGGCAGTTGCGGTGAATTTCCCTGTCTGGTCTTCATCAAATCAGCCCTCTGCTTTGCCCAATCTTCTGCACTTTGTGAAGCAGCTTTCGCCCAAAATTGTGGTGTCTTTAGACCGAGGGTGCGATAGAAATGATCTGCCATTCGCACAACATATAATCCATGCCTTTCAGTCATATATAAACCTATTAGAATCACTTGATGCCATTAATGTGACTTCTGACGCTGTTAACAAGATTGAGAGGTTCCTTCTTGTGCCAAGAATTGAAAGCGCTGTGTTGGGGCGTCTGCATGCACCTGAGAGGATGCCTCTTTGGAAGACACTTTTTTCCTTAGCTGGTTTCGCCCCTATAACATTCAGTAACTTCACCGAAACTCAGGCAGAATGTTTGGTGAAGAGGGCTCAAGTGAGGGGGTTTCATGTTGAGAAGCGCCAGACTTCACTTGTGCTTTGCTGGCAGCAAAGGGATCTTATCTCAGCTTCAGCTTGGAGGTGCTGAGGAGCAGCATTGGACAGGCAGGGGAGGTTGGTTTTTATAGCAATTCAGAATCGATCGACTCTATCCTGAAGTACAAATTATGTCAATAATTACTAAACTCTGCTGCTTTTATGACTTAATACTTGTGAATTGTCTTGCTTATGGGTCTTCTCTGCATGTTTATCTAGTATAGACACTATTCCCAGTAGAGAAAAAATCTGACGGGAAAAGTCTAGTAGGGTTTTTTGTTTTGAACACATTGATATTTGCTGCTATGATATTCTGCTGTCTTTTGTTTTTTTGCTGAGAAGCTGTATTTTCTTCTGGGTAAGGTGGTGATTACTTGTTGTATATTTGACAACAAATGAGAGCTAAAATTGCAAATATAACGTACCAGAATCTAGTTTTATGTTTCTGGGGTGCTGTTGATAAGTTCTCAAATTGTATGTTAGTTTGATATTTGAATCCTAACTCCTACTTTACTACTACATTTCACATAATGCATGTTTTATCATGAGAATGAAACTTGTATGCCTTCTTTTTTTTTTTTTATTTGTGTGGTTGGAGCTATTGCCTAGTTTAGAACTGGTTCATCTAATAGCGAATGATTAAAAATTATGTTTCTTGTGCATGACTAGAGTAGTGAATTTTCTTGATGATTTTGAGATTTAGTTGAAAAGGTGATAAGATGGAAGAATTGCTAAAGCAAGCAAGGAATCAGGAACACAAGTCCAAGGCGGGGTTCCCTTGGCCTTTAGCTGCTCCGAGAATATACCGTATCATCTTAGTGTCTAAATTTTTATAAATAGAATGATTTATTGTGGAGACATAAGGATTCCTTGATTAAGCAATAACCATGTGAAAGGCTCTCCCGTGCTTGACCATCAACAGGCCGCTTCTTTGAAATTTTTAGGTGCTTACAAGTTCATAATTAGATCAGTGCCAGAAACAGGTACATATCTGCTTAAGTTTCACTTTGGCATCCTGTAAATTTCCACCCCAATCAAGAACAAATAATAGTGAAATGTTATTTATCTACGGTAATGATTTTAAAGAGTCGGTGCTGCATTTAATTTCCATTATCATGCTTTGTCACTTACTAATGGAGTAGTTCTAGTAGTTCCTACTTCCTACCATAAGTGGTATAAATTAAGCTGATTTGATCTTAAATGAGTTTGTTGTCAGTTTTCTATCCGTGCACTTTCTTATGCTTAGAACTGCCAAATACGGTTACCTATATCTTGTTTTAGATCCCTTTTCAATTAGTTAATTCAAGTCAACCATGATTAGCTTGATAAATGGGTAGTTATAATCTGCTTCAGATTGGGGAATTGGTCTTTCTTTGGAATATCAGACAATGGCATCCCTAGATTCTATGCTTTGAATAATATTTGCAGAATCAAATATTATTAGAACTCTACCCCTTTGCTTAGGATCTTCAGTTGGTAGAAAAGTGGTCTCTCCAATTCTTAAAAGTATTTGCTGTGTCATATTCTTTGTTTGATTAAAGGTTTAGTTTAAGTTGAATCTGAATTTAACTCGGTTTACGAAGCCAAGTGGCATCTAGTAGATTTGTGGTTCGATTTTTAGCACTTGTAATTTTTATTTTTTTTTCAGATTACGGTTTTTTTTATCAAAAAATCCTACAGAGAAGTTTGTGAACATTCCGGCTTTCCGGTAGTTTTAGACCTCCAACAATGAAAGTCGAATCCTTTTATCGGTTAAGATATCACCTCTTACCTTATAGCCTGTTTAATACAGAGGCATTAAGAAATACAAAGGTAGAAGCCCTTTAGCTCGAGCCTTCGTACATTTACCCGTATCAAGTCAGTGCTTTCCAAGCATCGCCATGAAAGCTCCTTGGTTCCTTCCCCTAGCTTTCCCGGGCGGAGCCTGCCAAGAAAGACAGCCAAACAAGAAACAACGTTTGATTAGCTGACCTGTTCTAGACAAGGGGTAAAGACACCATATGCTGCAACCTTGGAAGACAACGAACACAAAGACACCTAAGATTAACAATAGTTGCTCATACTCTCTTAAACAATCATGCTGCATTAGAAAATAACATGGTTGTGCTGAATACTTCAATTTTGTCGCCCTGTGTCGGAAAAATATGTTTTTCCCCTGCATGTATTACACCAAACACGTAACGCGTCATTCTCCAATTTTTTAATTTTCTTAAATTAGCACTCTATGTTTTATATTAGTTTTTGTTTTGGTGATAATTATTTTAGATTATTATTAGTATACAATAAATTGTCTTTCAGTACATTGAATTTGCCATTTCATTTTTTTTTTTGGTCTACTTATGTGACCTTTAATCAAGTAACATGGGTCGTGTTTGATTGAACATTTTTTTTTTCTTTTGAAATTATTAGGATCAAAATTTTGATCATTAAAATTAAAAATTTAATATTTATTATCAAATATGAATGCACTTCAAATTTATTTGAAAGAGAAGATAATTTTTGAAAATGAATTTGATGGAGTATATATGGTCTATGATATTATAAATATCAATTATCCAAAAAAAAAAGGATGTCATAAATATTAAATTCATGAGAACATGCTAAGTATGGACCGCGACAAAGATTAATCAAACAGCTTATATGCTTTAATAATTTTTTGTCCCTAAAGATATAAAATAAATAAATAAAAATAAACAAGGTAAACTTCGGTTTCATTGAAAACAAACTCCTATAAAAATCCTTGCAAACATCCTCGATAATCGACATAGATTTAAAATTAAAACTCCTAGTAACAACTGAGGAAGTCATTATTAGATTAAACATAAACTTCTTTTTATTTTATTTCCTAAACTAAGGACCCATGGATTTTGTAATTATACTAAGTTTTCTAGCCGGTCCAATCTATTATTTATTATGATTATTATATTAATATATAAATGTAAGAGAGATGTGGTTGGATTTGATGCAGGGTAAATCAAAATTTATTAATCTCTAAATGGGTTATTTACATCCCAAACTTTTGCTGCTTTTACCAATAGAATCCATTGGGCTCACCTGAATTTTTATTTAAATGAAAACAATAAATAAAGAAAGCAAATTGCCAATTGTAGTATTAAACATGATTGGTTTTATTTTAATTGTGAGGCCAGACCAGCTGTTTGGGTGCGGAAGTGGTCCAGCCCAGCTGCGTGAAGGCACTATTCTTACTCTTGGCTTCATTAGGCTTTTTTACCATTATGATTGATCTATGTGACAGAAAAGAAAGTGACCAATTTTCTTTATTCCAATTATATTCTCAATAAAATGAAAAAAAAAAAAAAAACAATGTGTTTATATATGTCATAAACCGTCATCAATTTTGAAAGTAAAAAAAGATTTTCAGTAAAAAAATAAACAATGTATTTAGTTTTATTTATGGAATAAAATTTCTGCTATTTATATAAGTAAATTCGGTAAATTCGGTTGAGTGGCCCATAATGATTCCATGATCTTAGGTTTTTAATCACAATTTAATAGCAGCATCTAGGAACCCAACTCGAAGGAAAAAAAATATAAATCTTGAACAATATTAGTTTTATGAAATTGAAAAAAAAAAAGAAAAATATTGGTACGAGTATAAACTGAGTGATGTAGTGATGGCGACTGCTGCGTTCAATATGGTGCAGAGTAAGATGAAAATGACTTCAGATTTCTTAGGTCCCTTTACCCGTGGGGTCTAACTCCTGAGAGATTCCAATCAAAACATGCCACGTGTACGGGTGATAAAATGTTGTACAACATGGGAAAAAAACAAAGTAAAAAAAAAGATAAGAAAAGGTGATCATAATATTATTTGCATGGAGTATTGCTTAAGTTGATGTTCTAAGAGGGCGCTTAATTAATTAGGCAAATTCTAAATTCACATGTCGATCGGCTCTATCATACTTCGTTTCGAAGGAAGCAATGTTGTCAAGATTACCCGACAGAAGAAGAAACATTTAATTTAGATTTGAAGAACCCAACAAGGCTGATCATAAAGAGCCATTTCTCCGGTTTTTCAAACATGAAGTACAGGGGATTGCATGGGAAAGCAAGGTTTGGTTCTGAGGTTCATGCCAAATCCCCTTGTAATTATACAAACGGGTTTGTTTAAAGAAACGGAGCCAGAATATTTAGGTTGCCATTGACTTTTTGATCGAGTTCTATAATCGGCCACACACCATTGAAACAGATTGGCTTATTGCATGTTTCTGCCCATACCCTCTTTCTTAATTTATTTTATATTTATATTATTGGCCAATAAGGGTTGACTCCAAAAACATTTCCAACCTCCATGCATCAAACAAAACAAGTTGACTCAAGAAAACCATTTCCTCACTCTTTCCACCTAATAATGATGACTTGATGAGGATGTGCTTGCCAAAATCATTTTAATACAATCTAAAGTCAAATAATCGCGTATATTTTAGCAGTTAATTTGTTGGAGCTGTTCAATTTCTAGACAATATTATTCTTAGTTGCTCATATATTGACTTTTAGCTTACAATTTTTCGACATTTTTTGTAATTCTATAACATGGTTACCCTGTTTTTGTAATTCAAATTTGCATAAAAAAACCAGTAGAAAACGGATTTTTCGACTGCCAAAGTACATTGAACAAGGTAGTGGTGGGACGGATGATAATACAGTCAGGGCATGAAGCTTGATTGAAGAACGTGTTCAACAAAATTAATTATCCAAACAATTATTTTAATCAACCGAATATGAAGAAAGTGTTAGATGAAAACAAAGGAATTATTCCGAGTGCTGAAGCTATAGGAATCATATCCAACATTTCTCCTCCAAAATCGACACGAAAACTTGGAGATATCGATCGTGTCACATATGCTTGAGGTCTCACGCCAGCTCTTTGCTCTGTGTTCTGTGAATTTCAGTACTCTTACATCAAGCAAACACAGAATATATTCAAACTGATTTCAAGACATTGAAAGTATATAACTTTATTTCAAAACATGTCGACATTTTGGATAAGTTGAATATGTATGTTGTACTTGATTCCATTTCCGTGATTGGGTATATAAATTTCACATCACATTGGAATAGGGTTATAATTTCAACTGATTTGAATTTTGAGCATGAAATTAGAGAGAAAAAAAATCATTTCCAAAGACATTATTCGATCGTCATTATCTACAGCGGACGTTCAAGGATTCTTCATAATCCACTTGCGAGGCACTAGTCGAACTCAAAGTCATTTTATTTATGGTAGAACGTGTCGTAGATAGGGATAGATCAAGAATTCTGGACGACAAAGCACCTCAAAGCTACAAGCTTCTTTTTTTTTTTCTGGAAACCTTCTCCATATGGAAAGTATAATGAGAAGAGTACTTTGGGTAGTTTTTATTTTTAAGTGGGGAAGTGCTTTTGTCATCAACAAGCCTCCTAGGAGTGAGGGATTTTCGTTGGACAAAACATAGATGCTCTCATGAGACATGAACCAGCTTTGGCTCTTCTTCAATCATGTTGGCCAAAGCATTGTTGGGTGGGTCGCCACTCATCCAACCCTACTTGCTAATTATCCTTCCACCTTTCACCTTTCGTTTTTATTTTTAATTTTCTAAAGGCATGCCATACTGATTAATATTTAATACTAGTAGTCTTTTCGGCTAATTCTTATCAGACTGAAAGGAACATAAAGCCTTTTCTTTCCCTGACCATTAGAGATGTGATATCTAGGCGGAAAAAACAATAAGACTCGGGGGGTGCAGTCAAATTTAACAGATAAAGATGATCACAAAGAAAAAAAAAAAACAATATTACAGCAAAGATTAATGGCAAGACCGATAATAGGTCCATAATTTGGCAGATGGCTAATGTTAAAAGAGTAATAAAATATGGCTTGATTGGTGTGCATGTGCAAGGAAAGTTGAGGTTGTCGTCACAAAAACCTTTCACTTATGTCTTTTATGGATGCTTTACCACTATATCTCCTCCAATCCGATCTTTTCAAGTTTCTTTCATTGTTTTTATGTCTCTGTATTTTAGTGAGCGTGAAAAAAACGCATTACTTTGATATATTTTATGCCAAAAAAGAAAAACAAAAGTAAGCATTCATTTCAAAAAGTCATTAAAAGGGTAGGACCCAAACACTCCCTATCTCTTTCTTTGTCCGTCTCTGCAGTCTCATAATGTGTCCCATGCTGGACCGATTTTCTTTTTCTTTGAACCATACAGCTCAGTGGAGCTTTGGTTCCACAAAAAAACTCTTACATGGACAACTTGGGTGGTTTTCAAATCAGGGTGTTTTTCTTCTAATCTCTTTTATATCTCCTTTTCCTTTTTCCTATACTTCCCCTTATCCTGTCTTTCACAATTTGCTGTGATCTCATTAAGGTCAACCATGCATTTTATTGCTTTGAGTCTTTTTCATGGATGTCTAACGTTTTGTTACTGAAAAGATATTATAGTTAGGGACAGTTTTGTTCCATTTACTACTAGCCATTATTTTCTCCGTGGTCGATCCTCTTATCATTCCAAAATTTCAGTCGTTTGCTTTCCTTACCCTACACTGCTTTCAAGTGTCCACTAACACATCATGACAAAAGTTTGAGAGTGACCCTCAAAAACCATCGTCTCTTTGTACAAATTGCTACCAAGTGCTAGAAAGTTGAGAGCAGGAAAAGAAATTCCATCCTGTTATCTCAAGCTCTCAATAGTAAGTGGACAGGAGAGGTTATTGCAATCAATCACAACTTTGACAAAAAAAAAAGTATGGTAATATCACCTATTGTAGACAGGTCTAATTAATAGTGAACTTAAATTTTAGTGCATAGATCACATTAAACAATTAAAAACAAGCGACTATTTATGGAAACATGCATGAATAAACTGATTACTCCATATGAATAAATTAAAAGGGAGAGAAGTCACCAAGAGAAATTCACTAAAAGTTCACATCCCTTGACAGAGAGATATATCTTCTGCGCTTGTACCAGGAAAAAAAAGTGAAGAGACCTCTTTATATCAGTTTTCTTTCGGTTTTGGGATAAGAAGAGGCTTTGTTCTCTTCTGCCCACAACCGCAACTGGTAGCCAGATTCAGCACTTACACACGGCTAATCTGAAAAACATGAAGTACACTGTACTCGTATGATATAGTGATATCAGTAGTGCTGTCTTATAAAGCTTGAAGCAGAAACTGCAATTGCAGTTTAGAACTTGCATCCTTCCAAAGCAGGAACAGAGCAGCCCCATCCCATGGGAACAGTTCAACAACCTCGGAAAAATGTTTTCATTTGATTTGAAGGCATGTAAAATTCTATCATCTAAAGTGAGTTTGATCAAATGGCAGCAACTTATCTCATTCCCCATGAATCATGATGTTATCCTTTGGCCTTGTTTGATATACTTGTATAAATTTTAAACGACTTCCAGAATCCAACTTATTTAAAAGTGATCATATCATCAAAAATTCAACTTGTTAAATAACTAGAACCCAATCACATGAATTGTTCTCAAATTGCCTTAATGACAGTGGGATGCATATATCCATCACTCCAACACCGCAAAGTGCAAGCACTGACCATTCCTCTAACCAGAAAGGTAGACTGCAGCGAAGCCCAGTTCGATTGTTTGTGTTGCAAAAAACATTATATAGTTTCTAGTCCAAGCAGCGGTTACGGGTACGTTGGTAATTTGATCCAATGTGACTCTCTCCAGAGAAATCCGAAGGGGCCCATTTTCGACCTGTTTTAGGTAAATGGCCCAAGAGCTGTTGTACTGGGCGTCAGTCACAAGTAAGGGCCAATGGATCGCATTATCATAAGACCAATGCTCCCTTTTTTTTTTTTTTTGTCTTTAAAAAATGGAAACGATGGGTTTGATCAAGAAAAGTTTCTCGTTGGGTTTACTTGGATCAAAACTACGATGTCCCAACCATCAAAACTCTACCTTGAACTGGAATCCTGATAGCCAAGCGCTTTGAAGAAACGTATCGAAAGCCCAATAAGAGAGACGATGATGATTGATCTACATCGCCATTTTTTTCTCTGTTTCTAGGTCTCAAATATTAGGTTCCAGCTTCCAACCCTAATTGTTTTTCCCCTTTTCTTTATAGAATTGTCTGATTGAGCCGATTTGCGGTGATGCGTTCTGCATTCTACGTTGTTGAATGGTCTTTGGTTAATGGACAATTGGGGAATTAGACAATTAGTTGTTGCCCATTTGATAAGTTTCAAATTACATTGCCGTATAAACCCTGGTTCCATTTAAAAAAAATAATACTAACATATTCTCTGCTCTGACCCGCAACCGAGTTTTCATGCAACATATAGAAGAGAACTTGAGTTCCCTTTTAAGGAAAAAGGTTTCCTCTTATTGGTTACAAAATTGTATTGTACAATGAGACAAGCCATAGACAAATATAGAGACTATTCTACATCATACTGACATTAAACAAGATGTAAATGCTGCGTCTGGTTTGTCAACATTCATGTTTGCCGAAACTTAGTCAATGGTTAGGTATACCTCACTAGGATTGCGAGAAGCTGACTCACTTTCTGGTGAAGATGGAGTGTCACCCTCTGAGCTGTTCAACCTGTGCAATGACCGCCACTCGTCCATGAGTGCCATTTGATCCGGATTCAAGCCGGGAAGTGATTTTTTATGAAGGAGTTTCAGAATCTTTTCAGTTTTCCCCAGAACATAAGCTGCGAATCGCACACTTTCTTCCCTCTCTTCAATGGAGCTGGTCGAGCACTTGACTGAAATGAACCTTTGTAGATTAGTGAGGCAAGCAGCCAAAATATCAGAAATCATGACAGTAATGGCTTCAAATAATCTTTCGTTCATCTCATATTTTCTGCTTTCATAGTCTAGCAAAATGGATTGGCTTATTCTGTACATGGAATTAGCTGCCAAAACCTTCATCGGCCACTTTAATGGGCTATCTATCAGACACAGATTCACGTTACTCTTCTTAAATTCCATGAATATGTTCTTTGCTGAATCAGAAAGTACTTCGAGTATTTCCTTTGGACTTTTTCCTTGGAGAGACAGTTTACGAAGGTCCACATCTAGCCACCTGTGATACAGCTCAACTCCTAGCCATACGACTTCTGCAGCATTCCTAACATTTATCAAATTCCCTTGCATATCCTCGACGTGTCTGACATACATCAAACCTTCATTTACTCCAGCCATTAGATGTTTGATTGAGCAACTATTGATGTTTGGAAGTGCAATTGCAATGCTTGTCAGTGTCACCACAGGAAGAGCCCAACAATTTGGAGCTTCTTCAGTATCTAGAGAAGGCACTTTGAAACTGTCAAACTCCGTAAGCCCCTTGAATCCTTCGGAAGGCCTTGATAGTTCCAACAGTTTTATGAGATGTTTTGGTTGCGTCTTCTTGGCTTTCTGCGTCCAGTAATCAGTAGCATCTCGGTTCTCCTTCATCATTACATCAACCAATGAATCTTCACCTTCAAGATGCAAAACATAACGGCCGAGATCCAGCTTTGAGCTATGGAGCGACTCTGAACCTGAGTCATTTGTAGTGCTGTTTTCGGGTGTGAATTTCATCAGATAGTCTTTACAGTGGTCATAGCAAAACAAAATCACGCTCATAAAGTAAATGGAGATGAGACGAATTACTTTGCTCATGAATACGATTCCAGCCTGGATTCCAATACACAAGTTCAGAAATTTGATTTTTGCATCATGGGCAATTCTCCTGCAGCGTCGACTTTGTATTGGTATATTCAATGGGCACTGTTTCATCTCCACTAATCTCTTAATCCAGTATCTTTCTAGTTTGTAATCTCTGCGACAGCCTTTTTCCCTACCTCTTGTTGGACACCTGAAATTAATAGCAAGAAACCATCTCATTGCAGGGGCAATTGTGCCCACTCCAACTGCTACAGTCTGTGTAAGAAGAACTAACTTGATTGACCACTTATAATCAGATTCCCCCTTGCAGAATTCAAATGACCTAGGCATCAGATAAAATCGAAGCATAGCTTCTGCTAAAGTTGCAGCACTCAACAGACATAAAGCACCTGAGGCAGTGCATGTGACTGATCTGCCGATAACAAACTGGGGGCTGGATGTATGGGCCATCATCCAATATTTCATTAGAGCTTCTTTCAGTTTCTCTTCTACTGTCTTGTCAGTTTCATTTGACTTTAAGCATTCTTTCTGAGTCATTTCATATTTCTTCTTGTATTTAAGTTCTAAATAATGCTTAATAGTTGGAACAGTCAAAGATGAAAAACTTAAGACAACTAGTAAAACAAGCATGAGAAACATGATGATAGCATGCTCCATCCAGAATACATAGATTACACCAGTACCTAGTTGGATGCAGATATTGACGATAACAGTAATAACAAGTATTCCCAGAGCTATAATGTTGGTAAATATTTCATTATTTTCCATGGTTCCTAGAGAAGGCTTAGAGTTACCCATTACTGTACAGATCAAGGCGGTGCTGCTGAGTTTTGCAAGCTGATCTTGGCCACGAGGCATAGGAGTGTTCAAATCAACTGATAGTTTGATAGCAACGGTTACTATTGTCAAGGATGTGGCATTTATGGTGAAGAATCTGCAAGGGAACCAGAGTTTCCAATGGCGGAATCCATGGATAGCATCTGCAGCCATAGCAATTGCACAGGCAAGAGATGCTGCTGCGATGTAGATGCCAATCCATGGCAGTGGTTCGCTGAACTTGGCTTCATTCAGGACCCCATCGACGTTGCAGCCAAGTCCCATCTTCTTGTCTACTTTCTGTATTTCTTCTGAATGGGAATTCTATTGAGTATAGATATATTTGGTCAACCCTTCTGCTCTTGCATCATTAACCGAGTTGGAGGTTTCAGGTTCCATGGTCAAGAATGGCTGTCCGTGATTCAACTTTAATTACTATTTAATACATTGAATTGAATGTATCTCATCCACTTTAGCTTAGGGTCACTAAGGGTAGAATTGGTTTTCAGGGCAAGGGCCTTTCATTATCAAGTTTTTGGTGAAAGGGAAAGACCCTTTCATCATCGTAACTCATTGTCAAGTAGAAAAAACCATTGATCAAATCCAATCCATGGAGTAGGTATAAGATTAGGTGGTTGCTGCATTATTATTAGAAATAGCCATTTTACATTTGATCAAAAGAATTTTGTATTTATCTTCATGTAAGTAAGTATAATTTTGTGGACTGGACCACCTACACCTTTGGTAGCAACAATTACTTGATAAGAATACTTATGTTATTTTGGTGAAATGTAATAATGATAGCACATTAGCTGATGGCTGACGTTCTCAAATTATGACAGCTCATTAGGTGGGGGCTGATGTTCTCAATGGCGTAAGTTTTATCTAATCTACAAAATAAATTAAAACTGTCCAATACTCACTAATGGTCAGATCATTATTACAATTTAAAAGTAAAAACTTATTTAAAAAAAAAGAGTAGTATACTATTAAAACCTTGTTAACATTAAAAATGACATGTCGCTTTTTTTTTTTGAAAGAGGGGGTAAATACACTTTTGCTCATGTAATAAATCACTTTTTTTTTAATTTAATATTTAAAGAATAAAAATTCTAAACTAAACTTTAATTTATATAGCAAGTTACCCTGAACATTAACACCTTTTACAAATAAGTTGACATGACTTTTCCGGCGATGAAAAACAACCAAATGATATGAGATCCACGTTAATAAAAATTATAAAATTAAATATTATTATTATTGAAAAAAAATCTGAAATCTGAATATCGAAAAAGAAAAGTTTTAAAAAATAAAAAAAAAATCAAAGAGAGAAAAGAAAGGAGAAAGAGAATAGAGAAGCAGAGAACTGGGTTGGGGAGGAGAAGCTGATTGGCTTTTGGATTGGCTAAAACGATGACTAGCCTAAAAAATAAAGAAAAAAATAGAACTAGGAGAGAAAGAGGGATTAGATGGGGCGAAAGGGAAATAAAGGTTGGCCGGTCTAAGGTAGATCTGCTATCAATCTGGTTGGCATAAGGCTGATTCGTCATCGATCTATCTAGAATCAACCAGATCGGATGTCGATTGGCTTTCCTCTCACCTTGCACTTTCCATTCTTTCTTCCTTCCTTTTCTCTCTCCCCAACTCCTCTTTTTTTTTAAATTTAAATTTTCATTTTTTTTTTTTTTGGATTTGTTTTTCTTTTTTTGGGTTCTTTTTATTTTTCAAAATTTTTATTTTTACTTATGTGATATTTGGATCTTTCATTTGATGTGGCACTAATGTATTTGACTTCTCATTTTCTTAACGATGATGCATGAATAACTGGCTTTACACGATTAAAAAGTAGTTGTCAAATTAAGATTTTTTTATTTTTTAAGTGTAATTAAAAAAATAGTACAGGGGCAAAAGTATTTTTAACCCTTCTTTAAAAAATCTAAAATTCTAAATAAACAAATTTTAAAAAAATTCTAAATAAACAAACAAAGTAATAAACCGATTTAGCCACCATTAATGTTTTGTTACTGTAATGATCCTTTGTTGGAACCATTCGGTAGACTTTCAATCATTTGGGGTGCCATTTGCCGCAATGATCACTTGGTATGTCTTCTTATAGCGTCATTGACATCCTTTGCTGCTCCTGTTCTATAATCAACTTTACGGCATGTCGTTGCTAGCTGCAGGCATAGGATGAACTGCTTAAATGCAGATGTGGAAGACCGTGCATATATAATCAGTAGAAATACACAGCGAGAGAAACATGCTCAGTTCAGTGACTTCACTTTTTAAGTGGGGGTTTGGATTTAATCGAATGGGATTTATTGTATCATTAATTAAATTTAAATGTTAATTTTAATAAAATTCATTTAACTTAAAATTTTTTATAAAAATTTTTAATTGTAATAATAATAATTATTATTATTATTTTAATTTATCATCTATCCAAATGAATTTTAAAATAGTATTAAAAGCAAATAGCTTCCTGTTTGGTTCTTATTAGATCCAAATGTTCTCCCCATAGTAAATGTCAGTGTTTGGTCTATTGGATTGGATGGGAAATCTAATGAGCTCTTAAACGTGACAGCAACATACAAAAGATACTTTGCGGGTACTTTGATATCTTTGTTCCCTTGGTATTAGTAATCACTAGTGTGGAAGTCCGGCTTTTTTCGGTTTATTATAATAATTTTTAGTATTTATGATTGATATCATCAATTATAGCAGAAATTGTTTCCATAGATGTCAATTTTTTAATTTAAAAAACAAAATCTTGTAATTCAAAATTTAGTAGTATTCAATAATTAAATTGTTGTAGGATCATAAAATTAAAAACTCTAGGGTGCGAATGACACATAAAAATAGTTACGTCTCAATTGCAGAGGTTTCACCACAAAGCCAAAAGCAACAAATGAAAACATCAACAATGCCTCTCCCCAGAATGCATAGCGCCAGTGGAAATGGCCCCCAACCTATATGATAAGTAAATAGAATTTTTAGTTAATCATCAAACATCCAGCACACATGTCTACACAGTACAGAAGAACCCCACCAACTGCAATTTAGCAACGCATTATAATTTTCGAACATGAGTATTTGTGGTTTTCTCTGTTCTGTTTTAACCTTTCAATAGCCTTAACAAATTAAAAATTAGATGATGAAAAGAAAAGGAAAAACATCATTGATATCCAAAGTAAAAGCAATATGTAAAAATACAAATCTATTATTTTTGTGCAATCGAGATTCAATATGCCAAAAGTTCTTACTTGAATAGAAGTAACAACTTGCAGCAAACTCAAAAAACAGAGGAAACACTCGGAATGATCAAGTTCTGGATGAATGCAGGCATGAAATGCCTAAAATGGAATTTGATTGAAGGAATTCTTGCATGGAGAAAAAACAAAGTTTTATTTGCTTGACAAAAAAGTTCAGGTTTATTTGTAAAAATGTGCTAGTTCCCAATCTCACACGAGCATAAAAGCATCTAATCAGTTTTATAAAGGATTGCTATAGTAGCATTTATAATGGAAGCCTGATGCCATTACCAGGACTGAAGAGACTAACAAATTTGGCCTTTGTCAACACTTTTCGTTTTAGTTGTAATGTGGTGAATCTTTGAAGTCGCTACTCCTAAAAGTAAAACGAATGTCGTGTTAAAGACCAATTGGAAAGCGACTATGCATCTAAACCCTCTAAAAAATAACTTGCATATTGGAAAGGCATTACCAGTGAATAAACAATTCTAACTTTCTACCAATGCTAAAACATTTCTCCTATGTCTTTGCTTTCTCTCTCAGAATATAGAGAATACTCTATAGCAGCAACAACCCCTTTCATCTTCTTCATCTTTGAGATCACAGGGATGAGATTAAGAGAAGACCCCAAAAGGCCAAAAGAAGGAAATATGGAGAAAGAGAAAGAGACAAAAGGGAGAAAGAAGAGACATAGATAAGAAATAATAGAAAGAAAGAGATCCACTTGTCCAACACTTGTAGAAAGAATAAGTGTAGCAGAGCCAATCGAATACATTTGTCCAACGCCCAAAAACATAAACACTCCTATCAAGAGAAACACCTTAAGCAAAAAGAAAAAGAAAAAAAAGGCAGATGTCATTACCAGGATCCTCAGGGATCCTTTATATAAGGTACATAGATGCCTTTTTCAAGTTCACTGTTGCTAAGGCCTCCTATGAAATTTGCCTTGGGATATTGACTTTTGTTACAGAGAGGAGCAATTTATTTTGTACAAAAAAAGTTATTATAATATGAAAGACTTCCAATATTTATGGTATCGAAGAATATTGTTTGTTCGAAATGGCATTGCCTTTAAATTCAGGATAGCATGGCTACAAAACTGCACATAATCTTTTTGATTCAAAGCATAATCCATCCCCATAAAACACGATTTCCTATTTCTTATCAATTTTTTGTTGGACCACGAAAGCCCAATGTATTAAACTACCCAACCCTGGCATTAGGCAGCCCAGGCCTTCTTTAGAAAAGCATTTCACATTTTCCCTTTGAAACGACGATAGCGCCATCGTTTTAAAGCTTCCAGTGATGCGGCGAGTCTTTAATAATAAATTAATTAACAACGTCCTTCTTTGGCGATTTCACCCTCCAAAATCCTGGTTTTCTTGTGTTTTTACTTTTCACTTTCGTTGTTGTAAATTGGGTTCCTCTGTTTCGGTCTACTCGCAAAGCAAGGTGACCTTGTTTTAATTAGCGTTAAATTGCAGAAAAGGTAAGGAAGCTATCTTATTCTTGGAATTTGTCGATCAATTGTTTTCTTCTTTGTTCGATTTTTGAATCTTCGTAGCATTATTAGGCCAAGACAATGAATTAGGTATAATTGTAAGCCCCAATAAAATAATTAAAACCCTGATTCAATCTGATTTTTCTTGGTATTGAAATTCAATTTGCTTCATAACCCAATTGCATTTTAGTCTGAAATTCCTGTTCCTTATCAAATTTTCAGTTTCCAAATTAGGTTTTATAGTTACCCCAAATTTCAATTTTGAAATTCTAAACTATACGCATAATTATTTTCAGGTGAAATCTTGAATTGAGTAGCTATGGGAGGCCATGGAGGGTTAAATATTTTACCCCAGAAACGTTGGAATGTTTATAACTATGAGAACAGAGAGAAAGTCCGGAAAGATGAAGAAGCTGCTGCTAAAGAAGAGCAGCTTAAGCGTGAACAGGCAAGAAAAAGGGATGCTGAGTTCCGTCTTGAGCGGCTTCGGACTGCTCGTGGCTTGGCTCCATTAAATAAAGCTGGAGATTCTGAGCCTGCTGCTGAGCCTGTGGAGGTTGTTGAATCGGAACCGAAATCTGGTCACATTAATCTCTTTGAAGGGATTAAGATTTTTGACCCCATTAAAGGTTTGGAGAAGGAAGTGGCTGCTGAGAAAGATGGGTTCAAGAGGAGGAAATTGAAGAAAGAGGAGGTGGCACCCAAGATTGTGACGCCAGAAGATGAGAAGTATAGGTTGGGTTATGGGATTGCTGGAAAGGGAGTTAAGTTGCCGTGGTACCTGGAGAAGCGGAATGTTGATGTTGAGGAGGAGAGTAGAAATGATGCATCAGAAAGAGTGCAGAAGGAGGAAAGGAAAACTGGGAAGAAGACATTAGAAGAATTGAGGGAAGAACGTTTGAAGAGGGAAAGGCGGGAAAAGGAGAGGGAACGAACATTGTTAATAGAGAAGAGCAAAACAAATAGGACTTTGATGGATAGAAGGTTTTCTAGGAGGTGAGCTTGCAGAAGCTAAAGCTTAGTAATGTAATGTTTGCAAATATTTCAATTATAGACTTGTTTGAATTTGTGGGGCTAACAGTCGTTTTGATATTTGTTACATCTGCATTCCGAATTTATTTAATATTTAGGTTAACTAAATATTTTGCAATATCTACTTTTGATGTTTATAAGTGAAAATTTATCATTTTCTTCATCAAATTTGTATTACTAAGTTGGATGTTGAAAAAATGCAGCTTGATTTTGTAGTTGCCAAATATTGGCAATTTCCATCCTTATTAGTTCTGACCCAAATGGTTTGGTGTTTCTATGTTCTTTTATCACTGCATGCTTCATGCTTCAAAACCCTGTAGGAGCATGTTTATGTTTTTTAGCATCATTGGTAGAATTGTACTTCAATTGTAGTTTAGTACTTGATTCCGTCCATATCTAGGCAGATGGATGAGATCATGGTTTTGTTTTCCTAGGCTTATACCATGCTCTTTTAACTTTCATCTTTTCTTCCCTACCCATTATTTGATTTTTATCCCCCTTACAAAATTTGACATTTTTATAATGTATTATATTGCATTCCTATGTAACAGTTTTCCTTTTAACATTTTTAAAGTCCTTGTCTAACGAAACTAGATGGTAAAGTGAGAGACATCCAACGAACACAATTTGTTTTTTCAGTGATATAAACATAACTAACTGTATTTGCATTGCATTCAGTTGTGAATTGTTAATACTCAGAGACACGATTTTACCTAAAAAAAAAAAAATTTGAAACTCGTTTTGAATAATCAATTATTGATCCAATTTCTAGACATACTAGTTCAAAGCTATTCGTATTGAGAATTTGTTTGTGGATATTGGTATCAAACTTTAGATTCTATAAATTCAGGAGTTAGGTATGAACTTTGTGCATGTGATGCATCCATCAAGATGCTTGAAAGATGAACTCCTGATTGAATGATAACATGTATCTGTTCTGACTTTGTATAGAGTAGCTTGCAAGCATGTGCAAGCTATAACATGTATGAAGTTTATTTGCCAAAATTATAACCAAAATTAGTTGAACAAGCCCTCTCAATACTGACCAGTTCTAATAACAAACATTCAAGTCTAAATGTCTTTATTTATTCATCCGTTTATACTTAAAATGGGATAAGCTATGGTCCCATCCCATCTCCCCTGTTCCAGGTACAAAGCTAAAGACAAAGTCGTCAAACAATATGCTCCTGCCAAGGACTTCAAAAGTATAATTTTAGGGTAGTTAAACTATCATTAAGAAGAGTGCCTGGAATATTATCTGAAATCGTAATGCTGACGGAACGAAGTTGAACTCATTTTCTTAGTAGCAGCTTAACATTTTTTCAAATAGAATAAATATCTAAGTTTCTTCCGAAACTCGGTAGAGGAGAAAATTCATTTGGAGGGAACTGGTAAAGAGGAAGCACCTCATCATCATCATCAGTTTAAAGAAGCAGAGCAAGGTATTGATTTTAATGGAATGGTTGCATCAAATAAGAACACTCTTTTACATTTCGAGGATCTGGCACTCCCTTCGGTAGGTTTTCTGGGACCCTTTCTTTATATCTAGTTTGCAGCCATGGAATTTTTGGTTGCTTCATCAGTCTCCATATTTTTAGTTTCTTGGTTCTGCATCATTGTGATCTTGCTTTAGCTTATATCTCTCCTTTGGAACGATATTTTTGGTGATATAGAACATTTGGTTTTCTTGATTGATTAATGTAAGGCTGATTTATGCAACCTCTCCTTATGATGCTTCATCCATGATTGTGATGTTTTTATAATGATTTTTTTGTATCAAAGACCTTCCTTTTAACAGCTTTGAGAAGAACATGAAAAAGGCTAATTAATTTTATATGGAATTGTCCTAAATTGAAAAACGTGTACATACAAATGAAGTTTACAGAAGGAAGATAGAAGATATATGCAATTATCATGTAATACACAAATAACTCTTTTGATCCCCAACTATATTGCAACAGTGTCAATTGAACATGAAACTATTGCTGTCTAGTGTTAATTTCAATTATTCAGAAATCACATTGCTTAATCTTCAGTTTCAGGTCATAGTGATGACTGCAAACATGGGATGCTTTCAATGTCGAAAGAAAGTCTATCAAGTCATTTCTAAAATGACCGGAAGGAATTAACCAGTCATATGATTCGTGTATATATATATATATGTGTGTGTGTGTGTGTGTGTGTGTGTGTGTGTTTTGATGGAGTAAAGGAAATTAATTTTTCTAAGCTTGCAGGGCTAGCTAAGAGAGTACATAGTGGATGTAAGCAGTGAACAAGTGATTGTAAAGGCAGAATTTGGGTTTCGTCCGAATGTGGAAAAGAGAAAGGATTGGCATCCACTGCAAGTTTTCAAGTGTTTGCGCCTGATTTGTTTTAGTAAACAAATAGAAGCTGACTAAGTATGCCTGGCAGGACAAATTTCTTTTTGTTTGGGGACTAAACATTAATGTTGTATGATCAACATTCGAGCAGGAATTATTATACATGCTGTGTGTAAACCTTACCATCTTACTCCATTTTTTTAACATCGAGCAAGACTACCGTTAAGGTTCTGTTAAAAAATGTTTTAAACTAGACAGCCATGTGCTTCCCACATAACTACCCCTTTGTTTGAGAAAAAAAATGAGAAAGGTACTTGATATGAAAATAAAAGAGAAAAAAAATGTAAGAAAAAAAGTCTATCGATCAAATCTTGATATTCAATATTCGACATCTTTGATCAGAACTAGTTTAGGTTTTCTTTTCTTCTTTCCCTGACCATTAATTTAACTTTGTATCAGAATATAAAACCCTTCAACACTGGTTAAAGACCAAGCCAATTAAAGCGGTCAATCGGCCTTTGTTAAGCTTTTTCAAGTCTCTGGATAGATATCACTACGCTGGAATACTAAGTTTTACAAAGAAAATCAAAACAGAAAGACAACAAAAGGGGTAGGCAAGTAAAGTATATATCAGCTCTGGTTTCATGCAAATGCAAATTCTCCCTCCAATGCTATAATACAAACTAGAAATGAGAGTTAATTACCAAGTCCAAACTACAAAGCACAGTGGAAAGCCGCGGGAAAAATTAATGAAATTGACCAAATGATCATATATTCCTTCCAAAAAACAACACTTTCATTCAAATATCCAACAGATGTATATAACAGATCAGTGTATGAAGGCTAGGGGTCTGAAATTCATATATTTCTACTAATTGTCATTCATGCTTAATATGTAAAGTTTACAGTACTAAAAGAGTTGTCTGTTCTAGTTCCTACACTTGAGTGGATAAAGGAAGAACAGGAAACACCAGGTATCCAGATGGCCAGTTCACTCCGTTAATATTGTTGAAATTGAGTCATATATATATATCTTTGAAGCAGTCTGTCTGTTGTGAGTATTACTGTTCTAAACGCCAAAACTACCATACCTGAAATCATAATTAAAAAGAATGTTACTAGCATTAAAACTACTAACCATTAATTAGGATTCAAATGTCCCTGCATGTGGTACCAGTAATTCATTTTCCAACAATTAAGGCATCTCCAAAACAAAGTGCTTAAATAGTATGAAATAAATATTGAAATATTGCTAATATTATAAGTTCGATATTCGAGCAAAACCATTTAAGAGTCGTCTAGTACTCACCAATCGTAGTATTCCCATTGGTGAGTAAATTGGACTTGGACATCACGAGAAGCTTAAGGAAAACTATTGACCTTTTCTTTAATCGAATATTCCTGTAAATCCTCTACAACATCTGGGGCTTCGTAAGAGATACAAATAACATTTTGCAACACATTGTCAGTCAAGTCACTAGGATAATTCCGCCAGAGCAGTTCCAGTTTTTGAAGATTAACAGCCTTTTCCAACAACAACCTCACCAGCATCATTTCACCTTCAAATCCTGAAAAGCATATTACCATAATTGATTTAAGCTTTTTCAGACTTCTTCCATGATACAGCTGATGTTGTGCACCCTCCACCTCAACAAATTCAGGTTTCACACAACATCCCCGTATGATAGAGCAGAATGCAGGCCAACATTGCTCCCAAAACTGTAAATTCATTTGACAGGTAATAGAAGAAAAACAGTATTTCAATAATTAAACAACCAAGAAAGCTAACTATGTTAATTCATTAATAAGTTCAGAACTTACATCTATTGCACAATCCTCAAGAGAAGGGCAATCCCCTATGAAGGAAACAAGGTTGTAAACAACATTTGAAGACCCCGGAGAACCGTACCAAAACAGATGCTCAAGATTTTCGAATTCTAAGGATATTGGGTTGCCCTTCATGTAGCACTCTTTCGCCACGAACTCATACCAAGCTGTATCAATGTCAATATTTATCAGAAATAAATATCCAAGAAATAAAAAATGTTAAAGAAGATGAAACATGGAAATTAAATTCAGGATCAGGAAAAAGAAGCCGGTTATATATGGAAAGACAAAAAAAGGTACTTCAAGAAACTGAGAATTCACACCCAAAGTCTTCACTTGAGTTGACTTGATTGATCAGTTCTCTAATGTGGTCAATATTTGCCTCATTAATTTGGTCTTCGATACCTAGCAGGGTTGTTTTCCCTATTCCCTGACAATTCTTCAAACTAATGTTGGTTAAGTCACCCTAGTAAATCAAGGTTAAAAGACCTCGAGCATGAACGTCCAATAACCTAAACTCCCCATCATTATAGTTATCTTTATACCACTTGAGAACAAGATGTTGCAGCTTAGATTTGGACCCCTGATGTTGACATTAGCAAGCTCCACACACCTATCAAGGACCAAAACCTCAAGAACCAAGCATTCAAGAAGAAACAACTCCACAGTCCTGTCATCAAGTTTACATTTTGCAAGAACAAGTGTGTGAAGGGAAGCAAACCCAGAACCAGAAAAAGTCACCCCGGGCGGTGGTGTATGGTCAATATAGCTTAAAACAAAAACCTCCAGCTTTTGAGTTTGACCATTAATGGTAAAAAGAGATTCTGGCAACTTAAACAATCTCGTCCAATAAGGAAAAGCTGACATGAGACCTACCCTCAGTATGGACGTTTCTGGAGAGTGCTAAATTGACCCATTCTCTTATGTGGGGGTGAGAAAAGTAGCCAACGTGGCCAACAACAGTAAATGATTTGATAGCAGGAGATTCAATGAGGTCCAAGGAGCGGCTAATGGGAGCGTAGTCAACACTCTCCGAAAAAGAGCAAGGTAAAGTGTGGAATTCAACAACGTGCGTGTATTTCCAGAGATGGCGCCACCTCGTTGATAAGACGCTGGTTTGGATAGCCATTTGCATGGGCATTAAGGACAGAATGTGGTAAAGGACGTGATCAGGTAATTCACCGATTCGGTCTAGTTGAGGGGGAGGAGTTGATGGCGTTGCTTGTTGGAGGTGTCGATGGGAGAGTGAAAGCTGCCTCTTCTTCCTTTGCATCCATATCCACCTTTTGTTCACAAAATGAAAGGGACCAAAAGTGTCATCTTCATGATCTTCTTCCATCGTGGAAAACAAAATGGATCGACTGGAAACCGGAAACTGGAAACCAATTAATGGAGCTTCGATAAAAAAAAAAAAACTGCAAATAGGATTAGGGTTTATAGTAAAAGAAGATCAAGAAAGTCCCAAAACCCTTTTTCTGTTTTTAACTGCTCAACAAACCTTGAAACCGTTTATTTCGTTTTCTGTTATCAGTTTCAGTTACATGGAGGCGCGTGTTGATGCGTTGTCCAATTTTCATTGGTAGAGTACGTAGGTGACAGTCGCTGTGCAGGTACGGGATCAGGAGTTTTCTTCTAAACTAGTATTTTCTTCCTTCAATATTCCTCCGTCATAGCCAGAGGAATGGTTAGATGTCGGTGCCGCCATAAAACTTACGTCATCTTACCATTCCTCATATGGGTCCGGGCAACTCCAGCAACCAGTTCCCTCAGAGATAAAATGAAATAGAAGGTCCATGAAGTCCTGCTTACTATTTTCTTAGGCACCGTGGACATCATTATCCCAGAGCACTATGTCACTATCAGAGTTTCCACCTTCACCATCTTCTGCTCGTTGCCGAGAAACATTTCCAAAATTACCATACAAATGCTTGGATAGAATGCATGAAGAATATTTGTTGCGGTAATTAAATAATCATCCCCAATATGAACACCAGCCACAGTTTTCAGGTTGGCGTTGTTAGTAAATTTAAGACAAACAAAAATAGTAAGAAATAAGAAAATATGGTTTTGAGGTATGAATAACACTATCATAAAGTCAATTATGTCTTTAGAATATAACAAAAGCCTTAAAACTCTCTAAATCATAAATAGTAAAATTGGTCAGGTAAAAATATTTATATATAATAAATGAACAGTCATCAATCAAGTCAATTCAAAAAGTCATGACATTTTATATAATCATATTTTATTATTTAAATAAACTTTATTTAAACAGTTATGTTTTTTACTATTCAAAAATATTTATTCAAAATCAATAATATTCTGAAATAAATAATAATAATAATAATAATAACAAATTTTAAAAAATTAAATCTATTTGTCAAACAAACCCAAGTATCCAAGTGCCCATCTTTGACATTTTAAAATTGTCTGACCCATTAGGAAAACTCCTAGCAAGCTTAAATGACTTGGTCAGGTAAAAAGATTTATTTATAATAAATGAACAATCATCAATCAAGCCAATTCAAAAAGTCATGACATTTTATATAGTCATATTTAATTGTTTAAATAAACTTTATTTAAACAATTATGTTTTTCACTATTCAAAAATATTTATTCAAAATCAATAATATTTTGAAATAAATAATAATAATAATAATACTAATAAATTTAAAAAAATTAAATCTATTTGCCAAACAAATCCAAGTGTCCAAGTGCCCATCTTTGACATTTTAAAATTGTCTGACCCATTAGGAAAACTCCTAGCAAGCTTAAATGACTTGGCCCACTCCAACACTTAACTCAATTATTTAAATAACATAAGTAATTTCTTTTAAACCATATATAAGTGATCTTTCTACTCAATGTGGGATACACCACATTCTAAACTACTAATAATCTCCGACTAGTTTAGGATATTGATGTTTAATCTTTAACTTTTTACACAAATAAATATTATGAATACAAGAAGTTATCTTTCGATTTAAACCTTCAATTAGAGCATATATACCTTAGAATTATAATAAAGTTGACAATGTCCGTAGATTAAACCCCAACTCCTAATGTTAAAATTAAAGATATAGCACATATAATACTTATTTAATAAAAAATCAGAGGTTTATAATCACTTTAACACTATTATAGCCATGTTTTTATCCTTATTCATAAACATTTATAAAAAAGTTCTCAATTTTCTTGTTGAAGCGGCACCACTTCTATGTTTATATAGGTGGAGTTTCTTATTTATGTCTCCATTAACATTTAATTATAAACTCCATTAAGAGTTCAATCTCATCCTTCATTAACACAATGGCTTACAATAGTATTCTAAATATTTAGAATGGGTTGACTAGTGTTTACAGACATATAACAATAACTTGTTATTTCGGATTAAACTTTGTAATTAGAGGTTATTAATTCAAAGTTAGGTTCTCATTATTAGTGTCGAAAAGGAATTTTAAACCCATTCCACTTCTGGTGCTTCTTACCAAATTTATAGGTAGTACCTTAGTAAGAGGATCTGCTAAGTTGTTGGTAAATTAAACATATATGATGGTAATTATCTCATTTTTTATCAATTCTTTAATATAATCATGTCTTAGACTAATATGTCTAGATTTTTTATTATAAATTTCATTATGAGCTCCAGACATAATAGTTTCACTATCACATTTCAAAAAAATGATTGTCATTGATTGTGGCCACAACTTTATATCCATTAATAAATTTTTTAGCTATTCAGTTTCTTTGTCTGCTGCAGCTAAAGCTATAAATTTAAATTCCATAGTTGAATATGAAATGCAAATTTATTTTTTGGATGCCCTACTAATTGTACCACCTTCAAGAGTAAACATCCATCATGAAATGAATTTATTGTCATTTATACTAGTGATCCAACTTGCATCTAAATACCCTTCAAAAATAGCTAGATCTTCAAAATAAAATAAGTCAAAATCTTTAGTTCTTTTAAGATAACCTAGAACTCTTCCTATGACTTTCTAATGACTTATACTAAGCTTACTTGTATATCTTGATAACTTGTAAATAGTAAAAGCTATATCTGACCTAGTACAATGTATAGCATACGTAATACTTCCAATAGTTTTAGTATATTCAAGTTGTGCAATTATATAACATTGATTTTTTGTTAACTTTATACTTGTATCATATGGAGTATTGGTTTTTTTATATTGAGATATTTAAACTTATTAAGTAGTTTCTCAATATAATAACTTTGATTAAAAACGAAACCCTTATTATATCTTTTAATTTTAATTCCCAGAATGGTATCAACTTTATTTAGATCTTTCATTTTGAAATTAAAAATCAGATACCTTTTGGTTTCATTTATGCCAATCATATTAGTACTAAAAATTAGCATATCATCCATATAGAGACATATTATAACTTTATATTTTTTAGTAAATTTTGAGTAAATGCACTTATTTGCTCCATTATGTTTAAAACCATTGGCTACTATGATTGAATCAAACTTGTCATACCATTGTTTAGGAGCTTGCTTTAGCCCATAAAGTAACTTAATTAATTTACAAACTTTATTCTCATTACCTGGAAGAATAAAACCTTTTGGTTGTTCATGTATACTTTTTTCTTTAAGTCACTATTTAAAAAGGTTGTCTTAACATCTATTTAATACACATGTAGTTTATAAATGGAAGCCAAAACTATAAGAACTCTAATGGATGTTATTCTAGCTATTGGAGCATATGTATCAAAATATCTATGCCTTTTTGTTTAAAACTTTTTATAACTAATCTTGCTTTAAAAGTTTGTATAGAACCATCTGTATTATATTTCTTTCTAAACACCTATTTACATCTTATAGGTTTAGAACTTGAAGGTAAATCTATCAAGACCTATGTATTATTGAACATGATTGAGTCCATTTCATCATTAATAGCTTTTTCCAAAAAGTAACATCTCTTGAAGTTATAACTTTATTAAATGTTTTAGTGTCTTCATCTACATTTAGTAGAATTGGTTTTATTTTCTTCTACTATGAATACTATAGAATTTGAAGAAACAAAATTAGAAGGCAAAAGATTCTCTTTTCTAGTTCTTTTGCTCATTCTAATTTTAACATAATCATTACTTTTTTTTTCAGTCGTAAAAATCATTTCAATTTGTTCCTCCATATCAATTTCAGTATCATATATAAACTTATTTTTAAAAAAATTTTACATGAATAGATTCAACAATAATATTAGTATTTAAATTAAGAAGTCTATATGCTTTTGAATTCTGTGCATAACCAACAAAAATACATTTAATACCTCTAGGTCCTAATTTTGATTTATGAGGATAAGGTATTTATAAAAGGCAATGCACTCCTACATTTTAAAATAATCCAAATTTAATTTTCTGTCATGATTCCAAAGTTCATATGGTGTCTTTAAGAATTTTTTTGAAAGAATTCTATTATGTATGTGGCATGCTGTTAAAAGTGCTTCTCCCTAAAGATTTAAAGGTAGTTTAGCATTTAACAACATACTATTTATTATATCAACCAAGGTTTTATTTTTTCTTTCAGCTAAAACATTTTGTTGGGGTGCATAAGAGGTTATCTTTTGATGAATAATTTTATTATCTTCACAAAAAAAGAAAAAATGAATCTGAAAAATATTTGCCACCCCTATTAGTTCAAATAATTTTAATTTTTTTCTCTTTTTGATTTTCAACAACCAATTTATATTATTTGAATTTATCAAAAGCTTCATCTTTTGTTTTAATTAGATACACAAAAGTATAACGAGAACTATCATCTATAAATATTATAAAATACCTTTTTTCTTTCCTCGTTAATAAACCATTTAACTTACAAATATTAGAACGTATGAGTTCTGATAATTCTGTATTTCTTTCAGCCTTAAAAAAAGGTTTCTTAGTCATTTTTGCTTTGACACAGATTTCATATTTAATGTCATGATTTTTTTGGTATGTTATATAGCCATGCTTAGTCATATGATTTATATATTGATAATTTAAATGTTCTAATCTAGCGTGCCATAAAGAAAAAGAATGCTCAACAATATAAGCATAAATATTATTTATTTCATCAATGCTTAGTTTAAACATACCATCATTGGAATATCTTTTTTCAATGAATACATCATTTTTTGAGACTATAACTTTATTAGACTCTATTACAATGTTAAAGTCTTTCTTACATAATAGATTTACAGATACAAGATTCTTTCTAATCTCAGGAACATGAAAAACATTAAGTGAAGTTATTTTTTATTTTGAGGTGATTTTCAATTCAACCGTTCCTTTTTCAGTCACTTTGGTAGGAGCATGATTTCTCATAAGGATGTTTTCTGGTCTCTTGCATTCTTCATAAGCCTTGAACTGCTCTTTGTTGTTGCAAACATGAATTGTTGTACCAAAATCTAGTCACCAATCAGATGACTTATTTTAGTAGCCCTATGAACTTCGGTGATCATTCCAATTTGCATGTCAGTCACCATTGGAACAAGTTCATTAATTTCTTGCTAACCAGATTTGCCTTGCTTTAAAACTAGAACCAATCTTAATTTTAGCATTTTTAAATTTGTAATCTTTAATCAAATGTCCTTTCTTTCCATAATGAAAACATATTTTATTCTTGTTAAATTTAGATTTCTTAAATCCATTCTTCTTGACTTTAAAATTGTTTTGAAATTTACCAAAAGACTTATGAGTTTTTTCAGAATCTTGTCTACTCACATAATTCACATTGGAACCTCCAAGAAATAGTGCATCTCTTGCACGATTTTCTGCTTCAATCTGTATGTGAGTCTAAAATTCTTCAATAGTAAAAGTATTTATTGAATGCAAAACTTTCTTCCTATATCCATTCCAAGAAGGAGGAAGTTTTAACAAAATAGCTTCAACTTGAAGTGAATCAAGAACTTTAATTTCTAGCTCACTTAACTTAGAAACCAAAATTTACAACTTGTGCACTTGATCCATGATTGGTTTATCATCAGTTATTGAAAATTCAAAGCCAAAAACTTATTCATACTTTTCTTTTCATTCATGTATTTATGTTAAAGAGCAGTCCACATATCTTTTGGTGTTTTCATATTTATGTATAAGTCATATAGACGGTAAGATAATAAATTCAAAATATAACCTCGACAGATTAGTTCATCTTCTTCACATTTGCTTCTTGTTGCCTTAATAACATCAGAATCTTTATGAGTTGATTTTAGAATTGGTTCCAAATTTGGATCAAGTATATAAACATCTTCAATGCTGTCAATAGAAAAACCATTTTATCCTTTCACTTAGTGTAGTTTGATACATTAAAATGATCAAATCTGATTACATCTTAAGTTTGAAAATGAACCGTCATGCTTGATTCCAAATCTATAGCAGTAGTAGGGACAATAGTAGATGTAGTATCCATAATTGCCTTTAAATATGACTTTGAGGCGTGAATAATACTAACTTAAAGGTAATTATGCCTATAGGATACAATAAAGCCTTAAAACTTTCTAAATCAGAAGTAGTGAAATTTATCAGGCAGAAATATCTATTTATAATAAATGAATAGTGATCAATCAAGCCAATTTAAAAAGTCATAACATTTTGTATAGTCATGTTTTATTGTTTAAATAAATTTTATTTAAACAATCATGTTTTTCACTGTTCAAACATATTTATTTAGAATCAATAATATTTCGAAATAAATAATAATAATAATAATAATAATAATAATAATAATAATAATAAAAGATTAAAAAAATTAAATCTATTTACTAAACAAGCCAAATGTCTAACTGCCAAAATAGCCATCTTTGATTTTTTAAAATTGTCTAATCCACTAAAAAAATTTCTAGCAAACTCAAATGATTTGACCCACTTAATTCAATTACTTAAATAACATAAGTAATTTAATTTAAATCATATATAAGTGATCTTTCTACTCAATGTGAAATACACCACATTTTAAACTAACAACAGGCCTTCCTCATGTTAATAATCCATGTGCTGAATGTCTCCAAACCAGGATTTTGGGTTTTATTCCTAAGATCAAACTCATCATACTTCTACTTACGGTGAAACACACTGTCACGAAAGAGGATGGATTTTGCAGCACCAATTGAACATGAAACTATTGCTGTCTAGTGTTAATTGCTATTATTTAGAAATCATTGCTTAATGTTCAGTTTCAGGTCTTAGTGATGACTGCAAACATGGGATGCGCTCAATGTCGAAAGAAAGTCTCTCAAGTCATTTCTTAAATGACTGGTAGGAATTTGCCAGTCATACGATTCATATATATATATATACATATATATATATGTTTGGATGGAGTAACGGAAATTAATTTTTCTAAACTTGCAGGGCTAAGAGAGTACATCGTGGATGTAAGCAGTGAACAAGTGATAGTAAAGGCAGACTTTGGGTTTCATCGGAATGTGGAAAAGAGAACGGATTGGCATCCACTGCAAGTTTTCAATTGTTTGAGCCTGATTTGTTTCAGTAAACAAATAGAAGCCGATTGAGTATGCCTGGCGGGACAAAATTCTTTTTGTTTGGGGACTAAACATTAATGTTGTATGATCAACATTCGATCAGGTATTGCTATGCATGCTGTGTGTAAACCTTTGCATCTTACTCCATTTTTTTTTTTAATCTAATTGACTGAGCAAGTGAATACTACTTTTAAGGTTTTGTTAAAAAATATGTAAAACCCCAGTCACGTGCTTCTCACAAAATACACCTTTCTTTGAGAAAAAATTAGAACGGTGCTTGAAAAAGAAAATAAAAGAGAAAACAATGTAAAAAAAAAAAAAGTCAAAACCTTGATATTCGATTCGACCTCTTTGATCAGAACTAGTTTAGGCTTTCTTTCCTTCTCTCCCTTCCCATTAATTTAACTTTGTATCAGAATAGAAAACCCTTCACTGGTAAAAGACCAAACCAAATAAAGAGGTCAATTGGCCTTTGTTAAGCTTTTTCAAGTCTCTGGCTAGCCATCACTACGCTGGAACACAAAGTTCTACAAAGAAAATCAAAACAGAAAGACAATAAAAGGGGTAAACAAGTAAAATATAAATAAACTCTGATTTCATGCAAATGCAAATTCTCCTTCCAAAGCTATAAAAATAAATTAACAACTTGAATACAAACTAGAAATGAGAGTTAATGACCATCTCACAGTAGAAAGCCCAAGGAAAAATTGAAGAAATTGACCAAATGATCATATATTCCTTCCAAAAATCATCACTTTCATTCAAATCTCCAACAGATGCATATGGTAACAGATCAGTGCATGAAGGCTAGGGGTCTGAAATTCATACATTTCTGCTAATCGTCGCGCATGCTTAATATGTAAAGTTGAAAGTACTAAAACAGTTGTCTGGTCTAGTTCCTACACTTAGGTGGATAAAGGAAGAACAGGAAACACGAGGTATCCAGCTGGCCTGATCACTTCTTTAATATTGTTGAAATTGAATCATATATAGAGTTTTGAAACCGTCTGTCTCTTGTGAGTATTACTGTTCTAAACGCCAAAACTACCATACCTGAAATCATAATTGAAAAGAATGTTACTATCATTAAACTACTAACCATTAATTAGGATTCAATTGTCCCTGCATGTGGTTCCAGTAATTCGTTTGCCAACAATTAAGGCATCTCCAAAACAAAGTACTTAAACAGTATGCAATAAATATTGAAATATTGCTAATAAAATAAGCGAGCAAAGTTTAAGAGTCCTCTAGTACTCACCAGTCGCGGAATTCCCATATGCGAGTAAATTGGACTTGGGCATCACGAGAAGCTTTGGGAAAACTATTGACCTTTTCTTTAATCGAATCTTCCTGCAAATGCTCTACATAATCTGGGGCTTCGTCTGAGATACAAACAATATTTTGCAACACATTGTCAGACATGAAACTAGGATGATTCCGCCAGAGCAATTCCAGTTTTTGAAGATTCACAGCCTTTTCCAACAACAACCTCACCAGCATCATTTCACCATCAAATCCTGAAAAGCATATCACCATAATTGATTTGAGCTTTTTCAGACATCCTCGATGATACAGATGATGTGGTGCACACTCCACCTCGACAAATTCAGGTTTCACATAATATCCCCGTAGGATAGAGCAGAATGCAGGCCAACATTGCTGCCGAAACTGTAAATTCATTTGACAGGTAATAGAAGAAAGCAGTATTTCAAGAATTAAACAACCAAGAAAGCTAACTATGTTAATTCATTAATAAGTCCAGAACTTACATCTATTGCACAATCCTCAAGAGAAGGGCAATTCCCTATGAAGGAAACAAGGTTGCAAACATCATTTGGAGACCACAATGAACCGTACCAAAACAGATGCTCAAGATTTTCGAATTCTAAGAATAGTGGGTTGCCGTTCATGTAGTACTCTTTCGCCACGAACTTATACCAAGCAATATCAATATCAATATTTATCAGAAACAAATATCCAACAAACAAAAATGGTAAAGAAGATGAAACATGGAAATTAAATTCAGGATCAGGAAAAAGGGCCGGGTATATATGGAAAGACAAAAAAAGGGTACCTCAAGAAACTGAGTATTCAAACCCAAAGTCTTCACTTGAGTGACTTGATTGATCAATTCTCTAATGTGGTCAATGTTTGCCTCATTAATTAGTTCTTCCTTCCCTAGCAGGATTGTTTTCCCTAATTCCTGACAGTTCTTCAAACGAATTTTGGTTAAGTCACCCGAGTAAATCAAGGTTAACAGACCTGGAGCATCAACGTCTAATAACCTAAACTCCCCATCATTACAGTCATACCACTTGAAAGCAAGATGTTGCAGCTTAAGATTTCGACCCCTAATGTTGACATTAGCTAGCCCCACACACCTATCAAGGACCAAAACTTCAAGAACCAAGCATTCAAGAAGAAACAACTCCACGGTCCTGTCATCAAGATAACATTTTGCAAGAACAAGTGTGTGAAGGGAAGCAAACCCAGAACCAGAAAAAGTCACCCCAGGAGGTGGTGTGTAGTCAATATAGCTTAAAAAAAGAACCTCCAGCATTTGAGTTTGACCGTGCTTGGTAAAAAATGAATTTGGCAACTTAAAGAATCTCGTCGTAGGAAAAGCAGACATGAGACCTATCCTCAAAATATGGACGTTTTTGGAGAGTGCAAAATCGACCCATTTGCTTAAATGGGGCAGAGAAAAGAGGCCAACGTGGCCAACGACGGTAAATGATTCGATAGCTGGAGATTCAATGAGGTCCAAGGAGCGGCTAATGGGAGCGTAGTCAACAATCTCCCAAAAAGAGAAAGGTAAAGTGTGGAAATCAACAACGCGCGTGTATTTCCAGAGATGGCGCCACCTCGTTGATAAGACGCTGGTTTGGATAGCCATTTGCATGGGCATCAAGGACAGAATGTGGTAAAGGATTTCATTAGGTAATTCACTGATTCGGTCTAGTTGCGGAGGAGGAGGAGTTGACGGCGTTACTTGTTGGAGGTTGCGATTTGATAGTGAAAGCTGCTTCTCCCTCTTTTCCATCCATGTCAGCCTTTTGTTCACAAGATAGCAGTTAGCAAAAATGTGATCTTCTCGATCTTCTTCCATCGTGGAAAACAAAATGGACCGAGTGGAAACTGGAAACCAATAAATGGAGCTTCGATAAAAAAAATTAAAAAAAAAACTGCAAATGGGATTAGGGTTTATAGTAAAAGAAGATCAAAAAGTCCTAAAACCCTTTTTCTGTTTTTAACTGCTCAACAAACCAGGAAACCGTTTACTTCGTTTTCTGTTATCAGTTTCAGTTACATGAAGGAGCGTGTTGATGCGTTGTCCAATTTTCATTGGTAGAGTGTGTAGGTGACAGTCGCTGTGTTGCGCTGGTACGGGATCATCAAACGCTCCAAATCGGTTGTAACCGTTTCGTGATTCATTTAATAAGTATACTCGCAGAACTTTACTCGTACCGTACGTAAGGTAAGGTATATATAATTATAATTGATTAATTGTATTAATTAAAATGTACAACTTATATATGATTGATAACTATTTAAATATATATAAATTGTACTTTTGAATTTATTAATTTAATTGGATTAAAATAATATATAAAATAATTGAATTTTATTTTATTTTTCATTGTTGGATTAATTGGTTTGGTTCAAGCTTTTGAAATAGGCACTTGTAAGATTTTTAAATATATATAAACAGGTACAAGTTTTAAGATTATGTTTAAAAAATTGATTAGATTTACAAAGTTCGATAAAAAAAATCAATAACAGGTAAAAAATTAATTAAAAAGAGTATGTGGACAAAATTTAGCTGAGATGCAAGAAAGAGATTTTAATTATTAAGTTTAGTTGGGGTTGAAAATTAATTCAGATTAACAATGGATAATTTAAGGAGTTAGAATAAAAAATTTAGGGTTAAGAGAACAGATATTCTTTTTTGTTGAATACAAACAATGCAGAACAGCAGGTGTCATCAGCCTAACTTGCATCTGCAAGAACAACTACGTACTGTGCTATAGTCTGGAAAAGACATTTCAAATATACCAAGGAAAATTAAAGAAATGAGAGTTAATAAGCATCTCCATACTAGAAATCCAAGTAGAATGTGATTGCCTAACTGCCTAAGGAAACATTTTTATAATAGTATAAATATATAAGTTTCTTCTGAAGGGTTGATTGCTTGAAGCCAAATAGATATGTTGTAAAATTGTATGAAACTTGGTAGACGAGAAAGTTCATTGGAGGGAACTGGTAAAGGGGAAGCACATCATCATCATCAGTTTAAAGAAGCAGAGCAAGGTACTGATTTTATTGGAATGGTTACATCAAATAATAACACTTTTTTACATTTCGAGGATCTGGCACTTCCCTCGGTAGGTTTCCTGGGACCCTTTCTTTATATCTAATTCGTAGCCATGGAATTCGTGGTTGCTTCATCAATCTCCATATTTTTAGTTTCTTGGTTCTGTATCATTGTTATCTTGCTTTAGCTTGTATCTCTCCTCTTTGGAACGATATTTTTGGTAGTACAGAACTTTTCGGTTTTCTTGATTTGATTAATCCATGGCAGATTTATGCAGCCTCTCCTAATGATGCTTCATCCATTATTGTGATGTTTTTATAATGATTTTTTGTACCAAAGACCTTCCTCTTAACAGCTCTGAGAAGAACATGCATGTAAAAGGCTAATTAATTTCATATGAAACTGTCCTAAATTGTGAAACGTGTACGTACAAATGAAGTTTATTCTGTATTTCAGATGATCAGAAAATGAAAACCAGAAGAAATGATCTGAAGAAAATTAAGGTTCAGCATACACATCAGCATAGATTATTTATTTTTGCAAGGAAGATAGAAGATATATGCAATTACCATGTAATAAACGAATGACTCTTTTGATCCCCAACTATATTGCAACAATGCCAATTGAACATGAAACTATTGCTGTCTAGTGTTAATTTCAATTATTTAGAAATCACATTGGTTAATGTTCAGTTTCAGGTAATAGTGATGACTGCAAACATGGGATGCGCGTTCAATGTCGAAAGAAAGTCTATCAAGTCATTTCTAAAATGACTGGTAGGAATTAACCAGTCATATGATTCATATATATATATATATATATGTTTTGATGGAGTAAAGGAAATTAATTTTTCTAAACTTGCAGGGCTAAGAGAGTACATAGTGGATGTAAGCTGTGAACAAGTGATTGTAAAGGCAGAAATTGGTTTTCGTTGGAATGTGGAAAAGAGAAAGGATTGGCATCCACTAAAAGTTTTCAAGTGTTTGAGCCTGATTTGTTTCAGTAAACAAATAGAAGCTGAATGAGTATGCCAGGCAGGAAAAAATTCATTTTGTTTGGGAACTAAACATTAATGTTGTATGATCAACATTCGAGTAAGTATTGCTATACATGCTGTGTGTAAACCTTTGCGTCTTACTCCATATATATTTTTTTAAATCTAATGGACTGAGCAAGTAAATTCTACCGTTACGGTTCTGTTAAAAAAAACCTGTTAACTTAGCCAGCCATGTGCTTCCCACATAATACCCCTTCTTTGTTTGAGAAAAAAAAACTTAGAACGGTACTTGAAATTTTTTTTTTGACAGAAAAATTCAAGAAAATAAAAGAGAAAAAAAATTACGAAAAAAAGAGTCTACCCATGAAATCTTGATATTTGATTCGACTTCTTTGATCCGAACTAGTTCAGGCTTTCTTTTCTTCTTTCCCTTCCCATTAATTTAACTTTGTATCAGAATAGAAAACCCTTCAACCCTGGTAAAAGATCAAGCCAATTAAAGGGGTCGATTGGCTTTTCTTGGCTTTTTCAATTCTCTGGCTAGCTATCACTACGCTGGAATACTAACCTTTATAAAGAAAATCAAAACAGAAAGACAGCAAAAGGGGTAGACAAGTAAAATAAATATCAACTCTGATTCCATGCAAATGCAAATTCTTTGTCCAATGCTATAAAATTAAATTAACCGCTTGAATACAAAATAGAAATGAGAGTTAATTACCATCTCAAAGTAGAAAGCCTAAGGAAAAATTGAAGAAAGTGACCAAATGATCATATATCCCTTTCAAAAATCATCACTTTCATTCAAATATCCAACAGATGCATATGGTAACAGATCAGTGCATGAAGGCTAGGGGTCTGAAATTCAAACATTTCTACTAATTGTCATGCATGCTTAAACTGTTAAATTGACAATACTAAAATAGTTGTCTGGTTCTAGTTCCTACAATTAGGTGGATAAAGGAAGAACAGGAAACACCAGATATCCAGTTGGCCAGATCACTCCTTTAATATTGTTGAAATTGAATCATACATAGACCGTTGAAACAGTCTGCCTCTTGTGAGTATTACTTTCTAAACGCCAAAACTACTATACCTGAAATCATGATTAAACAGAATGTTACTAGCATTAAAACTATTAACCATTAATTGGGATTCAAATGCCCCGGCATGTGGTACCAGTAATTCATTTTCCAACAATTAAGGCATCTCCAAAACAAAGTACTTAACCAGTATACAATAAATATTGAAATATAGCTGATATTATAAGCTTGATATTCGAGCAAAACCATTTAAGAGTCGTCTAGTACTCACCAGTTGTGGTATTCCCATCTGTGACTAAATTGGACTTGGACATCACGAGAAGCTTTAGGAAAACTATTGACCTTTTCTTTAATTGAATCTTCCTGTAAATCCTCTACAACATCTGGGGCTTCGTCCGATATACAAACAATATTTTGCAACACATTGTCAGTCATGTCAACAGGATAATTCCGCCAGAGCAATTCCAGTTTTTGAAGATTCACAGCCTTTTCCAACAACAACCTCACCAGCATCATTTCACCATCGAATCCTGAAAAGCATATCACAATAATTGATTTCAGCTTTCTCAGACAACCTCCATGATACAGCTGATGAAGTGCGCCCTCCACCTCGACAAATTCAGGCTTCACATTACATTCCCGTACGATGGAGCAGAATGCAGGCCAACATTGCTCCCGAAACTGTAAATTCATTTGACAGGTAATAGAAGAAAAGCAGTTTTTCAAGAATTAAACAACCAAGAAAGCTAACTATGTTAATTCATTAAAAAGTCCAGAACTTACATCTATTGCACAATTCTCAAGAAAAGGGCAATCCCCTATGAAGGAAACAAGGTTGTAAACATCATTTGAAGACCCCAGTGAACCGTACCAAAACAGATGCTCAAGATTTTCGAATTCTAAGGATATTGGGTTGCCCTTCATGTAGTACTCTTTCGCCACGAACTTATACCAAGCAATATCAACAACAATATTTATCAGAAACAAATATCCAACAAATAAAAAATGGTAAAGAAGATGAAACATGGAAATTAAATTCAGGATCAGGAAAAAGGGGCCGGGTATATCTGGAAAGACAAAAAAAGGTACCTGAAGAAACTGAGAATTCACACCCAAAGTCCTCACTTGAGTGACTTGATTGATCAATTCTCTAATGTGGTCAATATTTGCCTCATTAATTTTTTCTTCCTTCCCTAGCAGGATTATTTTCCCAAATCCCTGACAGTTCTTCAAACGAATGTTGGTTAAGTCACCCGAGTAAATCAAGGTTAAAAGACCTGGAGTATCAACGTCTAATAACCTAAACTCCCCATCATTATGGTTATCTTTATACCACTTGAAAGCAAGGTGTTGCAGCTTAAGATTTGGACCCCTGATGTTGACATTAGCAAGCTCCACACACCTATCAAGGACCAAAACCTCAAGAACCAAGCATTCAAGAAGAAGCAACTCCACAGTCCGGTCATCAAGTTTACATTTTGCAAGAACAAGTGTGTGAAGGGAAGCAAACCCAGAACCAGAAAAAGTCACCCCAGGAGGTGGTGTATAGTCCATATAGCTTAAAAAAAGAACCTCCAGCTTTTGAGTTTGACCATTATTGGTAAAAAGAGATTCTGGCAACTTAAAGAATCTCGTCGAAGGAAACGATGACATGAGACCTATCCTTAAAGTATGGACGTTTCTGGAGAGTGCAAAATCGACCCATTTGCCTAGGTGGGGGTGAGAATGGAAGCCAACGTGGCCAACAACGGTAAATGATTCGATAGCAGGAGATTCAATGAGGTCCAAGGAGCGGCTAATGGGAGAGTAATCAACACTCTCCCAAAAAGAGAGAGGTAAAGTGTGGAAATCGACAACCTGCGTGTGTTTCCAGAGATGGCGCCACCTTGTTGATAAGACGCTGGTTTGGATAGCCATTTGCATGGGCATGAAGGACAGAATGTGGTGAAGGAGGTGATCAGGTAATTCACTGATTCGGTCGAGTTGAGGAGTTGGCGGCGTTCGTTGTTGGAGGTGGAGATGGGAGAGTGAAAACTGCTTCTTCTTCCTTTGCATCCATATCATTCTTTTGTTCACATATTCCCAAGTACCAAAATAGTCATCTTCGTTATCTTCTTGCATCGTGGGAAACAAAATGGATCGAGTGGAAATCGGAAACCAATTAACGGAGCTTCGATAAAGAAAAAAAATACTGCAAATGGGATTAGGGTTTATAGTAAAAGAAGATCAAGAACGGCCTAAAACCCTTTTTCTGTTTTTAACTGCTCAACCAACCATGAAACCGTTTGTTTCATTTTCTGTTATCAGTTTCAGTTACATGGTGGCGCGTGTTGATGCGTTGTCCCATTTTCATTGGTAGAGTACGTAGGTGACAGTAGCTGTGCTGGCGCGGGAGTCAGCATCACTCCAAATCGGTTGTAACCGTTTCGTATTTCATTTAATAATTTTACTCCAATAACTTTAACTCATACCGTACGTAAGGCATATATAATTATAATTGATTAATTGTATTAATTGAAATGTATATTTTATATATAATTGATAACTATTTAAATATATATAAAATTTACTTTTGAATTTATAAATTTAATTAGATTAAGATAATAAATAAAATAATTGAATTTTATTGTATTTTTCATTATTGAACTAATTTGTTTGGTTCGGGTTTTTGTTATAGGCACTTGTACCATTTTTAACTATATATATATATATATATATAAACAGGTTCAAGTTTTAAGATTAAGTTTAAAAAATCGATAAATTTACAAAGTTTGATAAAAAAAATCAATAACTGGTAAAAAGATAATTAAAAAGAGTATGTAGATAAAATTTAACGGAGATGCAAGAAAGCGATTTTAATCATGAAGATTAGTTGGGGTTGAGAATTAATTCAGATTAAGAATGGGTAATTTAAGTAGTTATAATAAAAAATTTAGGGTTAAGAGAACAGATATTCATTTTTGAGTGCAAACAATGTGGAAAGTAAGCAGTTAAACTTCACAGTAAACATAGAAGCCATGACAGTACGCATAGGACAGCAGGTGTCATCAGCCTAACTTGCATCTGCAAGAACAACTACCTGCTGTGCTATAGTCTGGAAAAGACATTCCAAATATACTAAGGAAAATTAAAGAAATGAGAGTTAATAAGCATCTCCATACTAGAAATCAAAGTAGAATGTGATTGCCTAACTGCCTAAGGAAACATGAAGAAATTGACCGAATGATCATTCATATGGATTTCAGATTCTTCCCAAAAACCAACACTTAAAAGTTCATTGAAATATTCAACAGCTGTAAATGGTAACAGATTGCATGAAGGGGTCTGAAAATCAAACAATTCTATGTAACGTTGTTTGATCTAGCTCCCACAGTTAGGTTGATAAAAGTAAGAAGAGAAAACACATGTAGTATCGGGATGGCCAGATGGTCACTCTATTGATGTTGAATCTTTAGATTGTTTGCAACAGTCTTCTCTTGTGAGTATAATAGTTCTGAACGCCAAAACTATCCCTGCAATCATGAACAGAATTTCAAAAGCGTTAAAACAACTTACAGTTAGGATTCAAGGAAGCAGATTTTAAAGATTAATTTCTCCTTTTTTTTTTTCAATTCATTACATATTCTTTGTTGTTTCTAAATAGTTGGACATGTGATACCTGTAATTCATTTGCCAAAAATAAAGGCGTCTACCAAACAAAGTACTTAAGCAGTACGAAATGAAAATGAAATGCTAAAACTTTGATATTCGAGCAAAACCCTTTAAGAGTCTAATACTCACCCGTTTCAAAATTTCCATCTGCTCTTGAATAGGACTTGGGCATTAGGAGAAGCTCTGGGCAAACCAGTGACCCGGTCTTCAATCAAAATTCTCTTCAATTGTGTAGCTACAAGATCAGGGTCTGGGTTCCTTTTATGTAAACGTTGCCGAAGGACAATCTGCAACACATTGTCAGTCATGTCACTAGGATCATTCTGCCAGAGCAATTCCAGTTTTTGAAGATTCACAGCCTTTCCCAACAACAACCGCACCAGCATCATTTCACCATCAAAGCCTGAAAAGCACAGGACTCTAACCGATTTAAGCTTTTTTAGATATCTACCCTGATACAGCTGATATTGTGCACCTTCGTCCATGACAAATGTAGGTTCCTGAATACTCTCCCTTACGGTATCGCAGAATGCAGCCCAATAATATTGCTGCCGAAACTGTAGAATCAATTGACAAGGTAATAGAAGAAAAGCATTATTTCAAGAATTAAACCACTCAGAAAGCCAATTATATACGTTCATCAAATTATAAAAGTCCAGAACTTACATCTATTTCACAAGTCTCAAGACAAGGACAATCCCCCAGGAAGCATATAAGGTTGTAAACTTCATTTTGAGACTTCGGTGAACCACACCAAATCAGATGCTGAAGATTTTGGAATAATAAGAATGGAAGGCCCCTCGTGTAGTACTCAATGCCCACGAACTTATACCAAGCAATATCAATTATCATTGATCAGAAACAAACATCCAGCAAATCAAAAATTAAAAAAAAAAAAAATCCATAAAGAAGATGAAACATGGAAATGATAGAAAGGGTACCAGAAGAAACTGTAAATTCACACCCAAAATCTTCACGTGAGTGACTTGATTGATCAATTCACTAATGTGGTTAATGATTTCCTGATAAGCTTCTTCTAACTCCCCTAGTAGGATTATTTCCCCTAGTCCCTCACAGTTCTTCAAACGAATCGCGGCTAAGTCACCCGAGTACTTCAGAGTTGAAAGACTAGGAGCGTCAACTTCGAATAACATATCCACCTCCTCCACATCATCAAAAAGGTTCCACTTGAAAGTAAGCTGCTTCAGCTTAAGATTTGGACCACTGATGTTAACCCTAATAAGCCCAAAACAACTATCGAGGACCAAAACCTCAAGAACCAAACATTTACGAAGAAGCGACTCCACAGTCCCGTTAACAAGTTTACAATTTGTTAAAGAAAGCGACTGAAGAGAAACAAACCCAGACCCAGAAAACGTCACCCCTCGAGGTGGTGTAAAGTCAACGTGGCTTAGAAGAAGAACCTTTATCTTTTGAGTTTGATCGTTCTTGGTAAATAAAGATCTTGGCAACAGAGCGAATTTGACTGGATAAGAAATTTGCATGAGACCTATCCTCAGAGCTTCGACGTTTTTGGAGAATGCAAACTCGACCCATCTTCTTACATCAGGATGAGAACGGTAGCCAACGTGACCAACAACGGTGAATGATTTGATATTAGGAGATTCAAGGCTGTTTAAGCAGCGGGTGATGGGAGTATAGTCAACAGGTTTCCTGGCAGAGAAGGGTAAATCGTGGAAATCTACAACGTGGGTGGATTTCCAGAGATGGCGCCACCTTGTTGACAAGATGCTGGTTTGGATAGCCATTTGCATGGGCAACAAGGATAAAATTCGGCTAAGGACGTCCTTGGGTAATTCACTGATTCGGTCTTGTTGAGGAGTTGACGGCGTTGCTTGGTGGAGGTGGTCCAGGTGGATATGGGAGAGAGGATTTGGCAGTGAAAGCTGCTTCTTCCTCTTCATCCACATCTTCCTTTTGTTCACAAAATCGCGGGTTTCGCCGGTTGGTTGCATCACGGTGAAACAAAATGAAGTGTAACCTGGAAACAATGGAACATAGGAAAGAATAATCTGCAAATGGGACTCTGGGTGTTCGATAAGGGTTTATGATAAAAGAAGAGGAAGAGGAAAGTCTAAAACCCTTTTTCACAGCATTTTTTTCTTTTTCTTTTTTTTTTTTTATGAATTTCAGGCGTAGGCTAGTGTTGTGCGAGCTGTCCAATTTTCATTGGCAGTCGCTGGTGGCATGCTGTCTGGTACGGGAATCAGCTACGCTCCGAGTCCAAGTCGGTTGTAACGGTTTCCTATTTTCTTGGTTAAAATAACAAAGAAAAAACTTCAACTTTGTCGCTTTGTAAAAATAACATGTAAATAAACTTGTGAAATAAAATGATATAAAATCAATACATATACATTAAATAGAAACTTGCAAAATAAATTTTTACATGTGTGAACATAATAAATGCTAAACTTTTTTTTTTGTTTGATACATATAATTTTTTATTCAAATCTTAAAGGCAAAAACAAATTGCCGCTGAAGATTCTCATTTTTTACCTTTGGCTGAAGTTCTTACTGTTCTGAATTTCTTGAGAAAAATGAGACTGTTGTACATTGAGGGAAAATGATGGGAAAATGATGTAAGTATTGCTGTTAAAGAGATCAATGAAGAAGACAGTCTTCGTTGGGCCATGGTTGAGGTCCTGAGGAGTAGCTGCAAGTTATGGTTTAAGTCTAAATTTCATGGGGGAAGATATTCTCTATAGCCAAAAAAATAATGGAAATTTTTACAATTTTATTTAGGATTCAAACTTAAATTTTATGGGAGAATATCCTCTTTACATCTTAAAAAGCAATGAAATTTTTTACTTTTTTATTTAAAGATGAATAATGTACTACTTTTCCTTAAATATATGATATTTAATTAATGATTTAAAATTAAATATAAAATAAATAAAAATTAATTAACTAAGATAAAATCCAAGTTCGAAAAGAAGTTGATTAGTAATAAAATTTATTAGTAGTAAAAAAGATGTTTTATTTCATGGTATAACTTGGTCTTTATAAAAGATATAATAACTTTAAAGAAACAAAGTTATACTTCATTTATCACACAAAACTAACCTTATTCCATTTCTAGTTCACATCTTGAGAAAAGATTTACATTATGAAACTAATTAAACAACTCTCTACAAAGCGGCAAGTTACCCTAGTCCTCACTTCCGTTATCTTGACTAACAAGAAACCTCTAAAACTTCCCTATCACTCAACGGTGACCTGGTACCCATCCTTTCTTTCACCATAGGCACAATCACTTTCAGGACCCCATTTTTCATTTCGGCTTTTATCTCATCGACCTTATACGTAGTTGGAGGAAATTCAAGCTTGCTTGGATAGTGCCTCCTACTCTCTTCATCCTCTGACTCTCTGTCGCCTTCTCCCCAGATGATCAGAGTGTTTTGATCCACCGAGATTTTAACATCCTCTTTGCTAAGGCCTGGCATGTCAATGCGGAGATCCTTTCCTTGAGGACACGCTGGGATATGAGAGGAAAGGGTGGTCCATGAATTGATCCATTAGGTTCAGGACCTGACTTAGCCTTCTTGTTGGAGAAAATGGATCAAATACATACGCACTCCCAAAAATAGTAATTGATCATTCAATTCTGTGCTGTAAAACATTGGAATCTCACTAGCGGGAACAAATTTTCAACTTTAAATCTAAACCTAAATGATAAAACAAAATTGAAAAACATTCAACCTCAAGCAATCAAATGTTATGTTCCTAACGTAAAAGAAAGGGAAAGGGGACTAAGAAAAGAACTACCAGAGAAGAAACGGGGGGAGGTGCCCCGGCAGCGAGAGACGAAACGATCAGAGCGGCGCTCAACGTCGACCGAGCGATCCTCGTTGTTGAAGTTGGTGACCTGAGAGTTGGTATTGAAGGAGCGAATGACGGAAGGAGTAGCCACTGAAACGGTATATGATTCGATAGTAGGAGATTCAATGAGGTTCAAGGAGCGGCTAATGGGAGCGTAGTCAACACTCTCCCAAAAAGAGAGAGGTAAAGTGTGGAAATGGACAACGTGCGTGTGTTTCCAGAGATGGCGCCACCTTGTTGATAAGACGATAGTTTGGATAGCCATTTGCATTGGCATCAAGGACAGAATGTGGTAAAGGAGGTGATCAGGTAATTCACTGATTCGGTCTAGCCGAGGAGGAGTTGACGGCGTTGCTTGTTGTAGGTGGAGATGGGAGAGTGAAAACTGCTTCTTCTTCTTCCTTTGCATCCATATCAGCCTTTTGTTCACATATTCCCAGGTACCAGAATAGTTATCTTCGTTATCTTCTTGCATTGTGGAAAACAAAATGGATCGAGTGGAAACCGGAAACTGGAAACCAATTAATGGAGCTTCGATAAAGAAAAAAAATACTGCAAATGGGATTAGGGTTTATAGTAAAAGAAGATCAAGAACGGCCTAAAACCTTTTTTCTATTTTTAACTGCTCAACCAACCATGAAACCGTTTATTTCGTTTTCTGTTATCAGTTTCAGTTACATGGAGGCGCGTGTTGATGCGTTGTCCCATTTTCATTGATAGAGTATGTAGGTGACAGTCGCTGTGCAGGTACGGGATCAGGAGTTTTCTTCTAAACTAGTATATTTCTAAATCTTAATTCCTTTATAAGAGTACTTTTAAACTTTATTACAAAATAAAGATAAATTCACTGTAATAAAATTCCACATCAGCTTTTTACACGTCATTATTTTCTTCCTTCAATATTCCTCCGTCATAGCCAGAGGAATGGTTAGATGTCGGTGCCGCCATAAAACTTACGTCATCTTACCATTCCTCATATGGGTCTGGGCAACTCCAGCAACCAGTTCCCTCAGAGATAAAATGAAATAGAAGGTCCATGAAGTCCTGGTTACTATTTTTTTAGGCACCACGGACATCATTATCCCAGAACACTATGTCACTATCAGAGTTTCCACCTTCACCATCTTCTGGTCGTTGCCGAGAAACATTTCCAGAATTACCATACAAATGCTTGGATAGAATGCATGAAGAATATTTGTTGCAGTAATTAAATCATCATCCCCAATACGAACACCAGCCACAGTTTTCAGTTGGCGTTGTTAGTAAATTTAAGAAAAACAAAAATAATAAGAAAGAAGAAAATATTGTTTTGAGGCGTGAATAATACTATCTTAAAATCAATTATGTCTATAGAATACAACAAAATCTTAAAACTCTTTAAATCAGAAGTAGTGAGATTGGTCAAGTAGAAAGATTTATTTATAATAAATAAACAATCATCAATCAAGTCAATTCAAAAAGTCATGATATTTTATATAGTCATATTTTATTATTTAAATAAACTTTATTTAAACAGTCATATTTTTTACTGTTCAAAAATATTTATTCAGAATCAGTAATATTTCGAAATAAATAATAATAATAAAGATTTTAAAAAATTAAATATATTTACCAAACAAGCCAAAGTGCCCAAGTGCCCAAGTGCCTAAGTGCCCATCTTTGACTGAATCAGAAGTAGTGAAATTGGTTAGGTAGAAAGATCTATTTATACTAAATGAACAATCATCAATCAAGCCAATTCAAAACGTCATGACATTTTATATAGTCATGTTTTATTGTTTAAATAAATTTTATTTAAACAGTCATGTTCTTCATTGTTCAAAAATATTTATTCAGAATCAGTAATATTTCGAAATAAATAATAATAATAATAATAATTTAAAAAAATTAAATCTATTTGCCAAATAAACCTAAGTGTCTAAGTGCCTATATTTGACATTTTAAAATTGTCTGACCCATTGAAAAACTCCTAGCAAGTCTAAATGACTTGGCCCACTCCAACACTTAGATCAATTACTTAAATAACATAAGTAATTTCTTTTAAACCATATATAAGTGATCTTTCTACTCAATGTGGGATACACCACATTCTAAACTAATAACAATCTCTCACTAGTTTAGAATATTGATATTTAATCTTTAACCTGTTACACAAATAAATATTATAAATACAATAAGATATCTTTCGATTTAAATCTTCAATTAGCATATATACCTTAGAATTCTAATAAAGTTGATAATGTCAGCAAATTAAATCTCAAATCATACTGTTAAAATTAAAGATATAACACACATAATACTTATTTAATATTCCGTCAGAGGTTTATAATCGCTTTAGCATTATTATAACCATGTGCTTATCCTTATTCATAAATATTTACAAGAAAGTTCTCAATTTTCTTATTGAAGCGGCACCACTTCTATGTTTATGTAGGTAAAGTTTTTTATTTATGTCTCCATTGACATTTATAAACTTCATTAAGAGTTTAATCTCATCATTCATTAACGCAATGGCTTACACTAGTATTCTAAATATTTAGAATGCGTTGACTAGTGTTTACAGACATATAACAATAACTTGTTGTTTCCTATTAAACTTTACAATTAGAGGTTATTAATTCAAAGTTAGGTTCTCATTATTGATGTCGAAAAGGAATTTTAAACCCATTCTATTTGTGGTGCTTCTTACCAAATTTTTATGTAGCACCTTGGTAAGAAGATCTGCTAAATTGTTAGCAGACTTAACATATATGATGGTAATTACCTCATTTTTTATCAATTCTCTAATATAATGATGTCTTAGACTAATATGTCTAGATTTTCATTATAAATTTCATTATGAGCTCTAGATATAGTAGCTTCACCATCACAGTACAAGAAAATGACTGTCATTAATTGTGACCACAACTCTATATCCATTAATAAATTTCTTAGTTATTCAGCTTCCTTGTCTGCTGCAGCTAAAGCTATAAATTCAAATTTCATAGTTGAATGTGAAATGCAAGTTTGTTTCTTGAATGCCTAACTAATTGCACCACTTTCAAAGGTAAACATCCATCATGAAGTGAATTTATTATCGCTTATACTAGTGATCCAACTTGCATCTAAATATCCTTTAAAAACAACTGGATCTTCAGAATAAAATAAGCTAAAATCTTTAGTTCTTTTAAGATAACCTAAAACTCTTCCTATGACTTTTCGATGACTTATATTAAGCTTACTTGTATATCTCGATAACTTACAAATAGCAAAAGCTATATCTGGCCTAATACAATGCATAGCATACATAATAATTCCAATAACACTAGTATATTCAAGTTGTGCAATAATATAACTTTGATTTTCTGTTAATTTTATACTTGTATCATATGGAGTATTGGTTTCTTTTATATTAAGATATTTAAACTTATTAAGTAGTTTCACAATATAATAACTTTAATTAAGAACGAAACTTTTATTATATCTCTTAACTTCAATTCTCAAAATGGTATCAACTTCATTTAAATCTTTTATTTTAAAATTAAAAATCAGATACCTTTTGGTTTCATTTATGCCAATCATATTAGTACTAAAAATTAACATATCATCCACATAGAGACATTATAACTCCATATTCTTTAGTAAATTTTGAGTAAATGCATTTATCTGGCCCACTATGTTTAAAATCATTGGCTATTATGATTGAATCAAACTTGTCATGCCATTGTTTAGAAGCTTGCTTTAACCAATATAGTGACTTAATTAATTTACAAACTTTATTCTCATTACCTAGAAAAATAAAACTTTTGATTGTTCTATGTATACTTATTCCTTTAAGTCACCATTTAAAAAAGATGTCTTAACATCCATTTGATACACATGTAGTTTATAAATGGAAGCCAAAACTATAAGAACTCTAATGGATGTTACTCTAGCTATTGGAGCATATGTATCAAAATAATCTATGCCTTCCTTTTGTTTAAAACCTTTTGCAACTAATCTTGTTTTAAAGGTTTGTATAGAACCATCTGTGTTATATTTCTTTCTAAATACCCATTTATATCCTATAAGTTTAGAACCTGGAGGTAAATCTATCAAGACTTATGTATTATTGAACATGATTGAGTCCATTTCATCATTAATAGCTTTTTCCAAATGCAACATCTCTTGAAGTCATAGCTTCATTAAATGTTTTAGGGTCTTCATATACATTTAGTAGAATTGGCTTTTTTTTAAGCACTTTGGTTTTATTTTCTTCTACTAAGAATACTATAAAATATGGAGAAACAAAATCAGAAGGTAAAATATTCTCTTTTCTAATTTTTTTGCTTATTCTAATTTCAACAGAATCATCACTTTTTTTTTTTATTTTTTAGTCGTAAGAATGATTTCAATTTGTTCCTCCATATCAATTTCAGTATCACATATAAACTTATTTTCAAAAAATTTTATATGAATATATTCGACAATAACATTAGTATTTAAATCAAGAAATCTATATGCTTTTGAATTCTGTGCCAACAAAAATATATTTAATATCTCTAGGTCCTAATTTTGATTTATGAGGATGAGGTATTTATAAAAGGCAATGCACCCCTACACTTTAAAATAATCCAAATTTGATTTTCTGTTATGATTTCAATGTTCATATGGTGTCTTTAAGAATTTCTTTGAAAGAATTCTATTGTGTATGTGGCATGCTATTAAAAGTGCTTCCTCCCGAAGATTTAAAGGTAATTTAGCATTTAACAACTTACTATTTATCATATCAACCAAGGTTCTATTTTTTCTTTCAGCTAAACCATTTTATTAGGGTGCATAAGAGGTTGTCTTTTGATGAATAATTCCATTATCTTCACAAAAAAAGAGAAAATGAATCTATAAAATATTTGCCACCCCTATCAGTTCGAAGAATTTTGATTTTCTTCTCCTTTTGATTTTCTTTTCGTTTTGATTTTCAACAACCGATTTATATTATTTAAATTTATCAAAAGCTTTATCTTTTGTTCTCATTAGATACACAAAAGTATAATGAGAACTATCATCTATAAATGTTATAAAATACATTTTTCCTCCTCTTGTTAATAAACCATTTAACTCACAAATATCAGAATGTACGAGTTCTAATAATTCTTTCTTTCTTTCAGCCTTAGGAAAAGGTTTCTTAGTCATTTTTGCTTTGACATAGATTTCACATTTAATGTCATAATTTTTTTGGTATGTTATATAGCCATGCTTAGTCATATGATTCATATATTGATAATTTAAATATTATAATCTAGTGTACCATAAAAAAAAAGAATGTTCAACAGTATAAGCAGAAATATTATTTATTTCATCAATGCTTAGTTTAAACATACCATCATTGAAATATCCTTTTCCAATGAATACACTAATTTTGAATACTATAACTTTATCAGACTCTAGTACAATCTTAAAGTTTTTCTTACATAATAGATTTGTATATACAAAGTTTTTTCTAATCTCAAGAACATGAAAAACTTTAAGTAAAGTTAATTTTTGTCTTGAGGTGAATTTCAATTCAACTGTTCCTTTTTCAATCACTTTGGTAGGAACATGATTTTTCATAAGGATGTTTTCTGGTCTCTTGCATTCTTCATAAGTCTTAAACTGCTCTTTGTTGTTGTAAACATGAACTGTTGCACCAAAATCTAGTCACCAATCAGATGATTTATTTGTAGTAGCCATATGAACTTCGGTGATCATTTCAATTTGCATGTCAATCATCATTGCAACAAGTTCATTAATTTCTTACTCAACCAGATTTGCCTTGCTTTCAGAACTGGAACCAATCTTAATTTTAGCATTTTTAAATTTGCAATCTTTAATCAAATGTCCTTTTTTTCCACAATGAAAACACATTTTATTCTTGTTAAATTTGGATTTCTTAAATCCATTCTTCTTTACTTTAAAATTATTTTGAAATTTACCAGAGGACTTGTGAGTTTTTTCTTTAATTTTGTCCACTCACATAATTCACATTGAAACCTCCAAGAAAGAGTGTATCTCTTGCACGATTTTCTGCTTCAATCTATATGTGAGTCTGAAATTTTTTAATAGTGAAAGTATTTATTGAATGCAGAACTTTCTTCCTATATCCATTCCAAGAATGAGGAAGTTTTGACAAAATAGTTCCAACTTGAAGTGAATCAGGAACTTTAATTTTTAGCTCACTTAACTTAGAAACCAAAATTTACAACTTGCGCATTTGGCCCATGATTGGTTTATCATCAGTTATTGAAAATTCAAAGTATTTCAAAGCAAAAAACTTATCTGTACCTTTCTTTTCGTTCATGTATTTGTGTTCAAGAGCAGTCCATATCTCTTTTGGTGTTTTTATTTTTCTGTATATGTTATATAGACGGTCAGATAATAAACTCAAAATATAAACTCGACAGACTAGTTCATCTTCTTCACATTTACTTCTTGTTGCCTTAATAGCATCAGAATCTTTATGAGTTGATTTTGGAATTGGTTCCAAATTTGGATCAAGTACATAAAATTTCTTCAATGCTGTCAATAGAAAAATCATTTCGTCCTTCCACCTAATGTAGTTTAATCCATTAAAACGATCAAGTCTGATTACATCATAATTTTGAAAATGAATCTTCATGTTTAATTCCAAATCCATAGTAGTCGTAGGGACGATAGTAGATGTAGTATCCATAATTGCCTTTAAATTGTTAGTAAATTTAAGAAAAACAGAAATAGCAAGAAAGAAAAAAAATATGGCTTTGAGGCATGAATAACACTATCCTAAAGGCAATTATGCCTATAAGATACAATAAAGCCATAAAACTCTCTAAATCAAAAATAGTGAAATTAATCAGACAAAAAGATCTATTTATAATAAATGAACAATCATCAATCAAGCCAATTCAAAAAGTCATAACAGTTTTTATAGTCATATTTTTAAATAAACTTTATTTAAACAATCATGATTTTCACTGTTCAAACATATTTATTCAGAATCAATAATATTTTGAAATAAATAATAATAATAATAATAATAATAAAATTAAAAAAAATAAATTTATTTGCCAAACAAGCCAATGAAAAAGTGTCGAAATGCCCATCTTTGATTTTTTAAAATTGTCTAACCCACTAAAAAAAACTCTTAATAAGCCTAAATGACTTGGCCCACTCCAACACTTAGATCAATTATTTAAATGACATAAGTAATTTAATTTAAACTATATATAAGTGATCTTTCTACTCAATGTGGGATACATCACAATTTTAAACTACCAACAGAGGTTCCTTCAGTTAATAATCCATGTGCTGAATGCCTCCAAACCAGGATTTTGGGTTTTATTCCTAGGATCAAACTTATCATACTTCTACTTACGGTGAAACACACTGTCACGAAAGAGGATGGATTTTGCAGCACCAATTGAACATGAAACTATTGCTGTCTAGTGTTAATTGCTATTATTTAGAAATCACATTGCTTAATGTTCAGTTTCAGGTCTTAGTGATGACTGCAAACATGGGATGCGCTCAATGTCGAAAGAAAGTCTCTCAAGTCATTTCTTAAATGACTGGTAGGAATTTGCCAGTCATACGATTCATATATATATATATATATATATACGTTTTGATGGAGTAAAGGAAATTAATTTTTCTAAACTTGCAGGGCTAAGAGAGTACATCGTGGATGTAAGCAGTGAACAAGTGATAGTAAAGACAGACTTTGGGTTTCATCGGAATGTGGAAAAGAGAACGGATTGGCATCCACTGCAAGTTTTCAATTGTTTGAGCCTGATTTGTTTCAGTAAACAAATAGAAGCCGATTGAGTATGCCTGGCGGGACAAAATTCTTTTTGTTTGGGGACTAAACATTAATGTTGTATGATCAACATTCGAGCAGGTATTGCTATGCATGCTGTGTATAAACCTTTGCATCTTACTCCATTCTTTTTTTTAATCTAATTGACTGAACAAGTGAATACTACTTTTAAGGTTTTGTTAAAAAATATGTAAAACCCCAGTCACGTGCTTCCCACAAAATACCCCTTTCTTTGAGAAAAAATTAGAACGGTGCTTGAAAAAGAAAATAAAAGAGAAAACAATGTAAAAAAAAAAAAAAGTCGAAATCTTGATATTCGATTCGACCTCTTTGATCAGAACTAGTTTAGGCTTTCTTTCCTTCTCTCCCTTCCCATTAATTTAACTTTGTATCAGAATAGAAAACCCTTCACTGGTAAAAGACCAAACCAAATAAGAGGTCAATTGGCCTTTGTTAAGCTTTTTCAAGTCTCTGGCTAGCCATCACTACGCTGGAACACAAAGTTCTACAAAGAAAATCAAAACAGAAAGACAATAAAAGGGGTAAACAAGTAAAATATAAATAAACTCTGATTCATGCAAATGCAAATTCTCCTTCCATGTATAAAATAAATTAACAACTTGAATACAAACTTAGAATGAGAGTTAATGACATCCTCACAGTAGAAAAGCCCAAGGAAAAAATTGAAAGAAATTGACAAAATGGATCAATATATGTCCTTCCAAAAAATCATCACTTTCATTCAAATCTCCAACAGATGCATATGGTAACAGATCCAAGTGCAATGAGGCTAGGGGTCTGAAATTCCATACATTTCCTGCTAATCGTCGCGCAATGGCTTAATATGGTAAAGTTGAAAGTACTAAACAGTTGTCTGGTTTAGGTTTCTACACTTAGGTGGATAAAGGAAGAACAGGAAACACAGTATCCAGATGGCCAGATCACTTCTTTAATATTGTTGAAATTGAATCATATATAGAGTTTTGAAACCGTCTGTCTCTTGTGAGTATTACTGTTCTAAACGCCAAAACTACCATACCTGAAATCATAATTGAAAAGAATGTTACTATCATTAAACTACTAACCATTAATTAGGATTGAATTGTCCCTGCATGTGGTTCCAGTAATTCGTTTGCCAACAATTAAGGCATCTCCAAAACAAAGTACTTAAACAGTATGCAATAAATATTGAAATATTGCTAATAAAATAAGCGAGCAAAACCCTTTAAGAGTCCTCTAGTACTCACCAGTCGCGGAATTCCCATATGCGAGTAAATTGGACTTGGGCATCACGAGAAGCTTTGGGAAAACTATTGACCTTTTCTTTAATCGAATCTTCCTGCAAATGCTCTACATAATCTGGGGCTTCGTCTGAGATACAAACAATATTTTGCAACACATTGTCAGACATGAAACTAGGATGATTCCGCCAGAGCAATTCCAGTTTTTGAAGATTCACAGCTTTTTCCAACAACAACCTCACCAGCATCATTTCACCATCAAATCCTGAAAAGCATATCACCATAATTGATTTGAGCTTTTTCAGACATCCTCGATGATACAGATGATGTGGTGCACACTCCACCTCGACAAATTCAGGTTTCACATAATATCCCCGTAGGATAGAGCTGAATGCAGGCCAACATTGCTGCCGAAACTGTAAATTCATTTGACAGGTAATAGAAGAAAGCAGTATTTCAAGAATTAAACAACCAAGAAAGCTAACTATGTTAATTCATTAATAAGTCCAGAACTTACATCTATTGCACAATCCTCAAGAGAAGGGCAATTCCCTATGAAGGAAACAAGGTTGCAAACATCATTTGGAGACCACAGTGAACCGTACCAAAACAGATGCTCAAGATTTTCGAACCTCCAGCTTTTGAGTTTGACCATTATTGGTAAAAAGAGATTCTGGCAACTTAAAGAATCTCGTCGAAGGAAACGATGACATGAGACCTATCCTTAAAGTATGGACGTTTCTGGAGAGTGCAAAATCGACCCATTTGCCTAGGTGGGGGTGAGAATAGAAGCCAACATGGCCAACAACGGTAAATGATTCGATAGCAGGAGATTCAATGAGGTCCAAGGAGCGGCTAATGGGAGCGTAGTCAACACTCTCCCAAAAAGAGAGAGGTAAAGTGTGGAAATCGACAACGTGCGTGTGTTTCCAGAGATGGCGCCACCTTGTTGATAAGACGATAGTTTGGATAGCCATTTGCATTGGCATCAAGGACAGAATGTGGTAAAGGAGGTGATCAGGTAATTCACTGATTCGGTCTAGTCGAGGAGGAGTTGACGGCGTTGCTTGTTGGAGGTGGAGATGGGAGAGTGAAAACTGCTTCTTCTTCTTCCTTTGCATCCATATCAGCCTTTTGTTCACATATTCTCAGGTACCAAAATAGTTATCTTCGTTATCTTCTTGCATTGTGGAAAACAAAATGGATCGAGTGGAAACCGGAAACTGGAAACCAATTAATGGAGCTTCGATAAAGAAAAAAATACTGCAAATGGGATTAGGGTTTATAGTAAAAGAAGATCAAGAACGGCCTAAAACCCTTTTTCTGTTTTTAACTGCTCAACCAACCATGAAACCGTTTATTTCGTTTTCTGTTATCAGTTTCAGTTACATGGAGGCGCGTGTTGATGCGTTGTCCCATTTTCATTGATAGAGTATGTTGGTGACAGTCGCTGTGCTTTGCTGTGCTGGTACAGGATTCAGCAACGCTCCAAATCGGTTGTAACCGTATTTCATTTAATAATTTTACTCCAATAACATTAACTCATACCGTACGTAAGGCATATATAATTATAATTGATTAATTGTATTAATTGAAACGTATATTTTATATATAATTAATAAATATTTAAATATATAAATTATTTTTGAATTTATAAATTTAATTAGATTAAGATAATAAATAAAATAATTGAATTTTATTTTATTTTACATTATTGAACTAATTTGTTTGGCTCGGGTTTTTGTAATAGGCACTTGTAACATCTTTAACCATATATATAAACAGGTTCAAGTTTTAACATTAAGTTTAAAAAATCGATAAATTTACAAAGTTTGATAAAAAAAAATTCAATAATAGGTAAAAAGTTAATTAAAAAGAGTATATAGACAAAGTTTAACTGAGATGCAAGAAAAAGATTTTAATCATGAAGATTAGTTGGGGTTGAGAATTAATTCAGATTAACAATGGGTACATTTAAGGAGTTATAATAAAAAATTTAGGGTTAAGAGAACACATATTCATTTTTGAATGCAAACAATGTGGAAGGTAAGCAGTTAAACTTCAAACTATACATAGAAGCCATGACTGTACGCCTAGGACAGCAGGTGTCATCAGCCCAACTTGCATCTGCAAGAACAACTACGTGCTGTGCTATAGTCTGGAAAAGACATTCCAAACATACAAAGGAAAATTAAAGAAATGAGAGTTAATAAGCATCTCCATACTAGAAATCAAAGCAGAATGTGATTTGCCTAACTGCCTAAGGAAACATGAAGAAATTGATCAAATGATCGTTCATATGGATTTCAGGTTCTTCCCAAAAACCAACATGTAAAAGTTCCTTGAACTATACAACAGATGTAAATGATAAAGGAGTGCATGTAGGGGTCTAAAATTCAAACATTTCTATTTAAAGTTGTCTGATCTAGTTCCTACACGTAGGTTGATAAAAGGAAGAACAGAAAACACACGTAGTATCTGAATGGCCAGATGATCACTCCATTGATGTTGAATCTTTAGATTGTTTGCAACAGTCTTCTCTTGTGAGTATAATAGTTCTGAACGCCAAAACTATCCCTGCGATCCTAAACAGAATGTCAAAAGCATTAAAACAACTAACAGTTAGGATTCAAGGAAGCAGATTTTAAAGATTAATTTCTCCTTCTTCTTTTTCCAAATCATTACATATTCTCTGTTGTCTCTAAATAGTTGGACATGTGATACCAGTAATTCATTTGCCAAAAATAAAGGCATCTACCAAACAAAGTACTTAAGCAGTACGCAATGAAAATGAAATGCTAAACTTTTATATTCAAGCAAAACCATTTAAGAGTCTAATACTCACCTGTTTCAAAATTTCCATCTGCTCTTGAATAGGACTTGGGCATTAGGCGAAGCTCTGGGCAAACGAGTGACCCAGTCTTCAATCCAAGTTTTCTTCAAATGTGTAGCTACAAGATCTGGGTTTGGGTACCTTTTAGGTAAAGTTTGCCGAATGACAATCTGCAACACATTGTCAGTCATGTCACTAGGATGATTCTGCCAAAGCAATTCGAGTTTTTGAAGATTCACAGCCTTTCCCAACAACAACTGCACCAGCATCATTTCACCATCAAAGCCTGAAAAGCACAGGACTCTAACCGATTTAAGCTTTTTCAGATATCTACCCTGATTCAGCTGATATTGTGCACCTTCGCCCATGACAAATGTAGGTTTCAGAATACTCTCCCATACGGTCTCGCAGAATGCAGCCCAATAATACTGCTGCCGAAACTGTAGAATCATTTGACATGATAATAGAAGAAAAGCATTATTTCAAGAATTAAACCACTAAGAAAGCCAATTATATATGTTCAATAAATTTTAAAAGTCCAGAAATTACATCTATTTCACAAGTCTCAAGACAAGGACAATCCCCTAGAAAGGATACAAGGTTGTAAACTGCATTTTGAGACTTCAGTGAACCACACCAAATCAGATGCTGAAGATTTTGGAATATTAAGAATGGAAGGCCCCTCGTGTAGAACTCACTGCCCACGAACTTATACCAAGTAATATCAACTATCATTTATCAGAAACAAATATCCAGCAAATCAAAAACTTAAAAAAAAAAAAAAACCCGTAAAGAAGATGAAACATCGAAATGATAGAAAGGGTACCTGAAGAAACTGTAAATTAACACCCAAAATCTTCACGTGAGTGACTTGATTGATCAATTCACTAATGTGGTTAATGATTTCCTGATGAACTTCTTCTAACTCCCCTAGTAGGATTATTTCCCCTAGTCCCTCACAGTTCTTCAAACGAATCATGGTTAAGTCACCCGAGTACTTCAGGGTTGCAAGACCAGGAGCGTCAACTTCGAATAACATATCCTCCTCCTCGTCAAAAAGGTTCCTCATGAAAGTAAGCTGCTTCAGCTTAAGATTTGGACCACTGATGTTAACCCTAATAAGCCCAAAACAACTATCGAGGACCAAAACCTCAAGAACCAAACATTTACGAAGAAGAGACTCCACAGTCCCGTCAACAAGTTTACAATTTGTTAAAGAAAGCGACTGAAGAGAAACAAACCCAGACCCAGAAAACGTCACCCCACGAGGTGGTATAAAGTCAACATGGCTTAGAAGAAGAACCTTTATCTTTTGAGTTTGATCGTTCTTGGTAAAAAAAGATCTTGGCAACAGAGAGAATTTGACCGGAAAAGAAATTTGCATGAGACCTATCCTCAGAGTTTCGACGTTTTTGGAAAATGCAAACTCGACCCATCTTCTTACATCAGGATGAGAACGGTGGCCAATGTGACCAACAACGGTGAATGATTTGATATTAGGAGATTCAAGGCTGTCTAAGCAGCGGGTGATGGGAGTATAGTCAACAGGTTTCCTGGCAGAGAAGGGTAAATCGTGGAAATCTACGACGTGGGTGGATTTCCAGAGATGGCGCCACCTTGTTGACAAGATGCTGGTTTGGATAGCCATTTGCATGGGCAACAAGGATAGAATGTGGCAAAGGACGTCCTTGGGTAATTCACTGATTCGGTCTAGTAGAGGAGTTGACGGCGTTGCTTGGTGGAGGTGGTCCAAGTGGATATGGGAGGGAGTATTTGACAGTGAAAGCTGCTTCTTCCTTTTCATCCACATCCTCCTTTTGTTCACAAAATGGCGGGTTTCGCCAGTTGGTTGCATCACGGTGAAACAAAATGAAGTGTAAGCTGGAAACAATGGAACTTGATAAGTATAATCTGTTGGAAGAAAGGCCTTAAGAGACATTTTCACAAACACTTGGCATGCAAACTCTATAAAGCTTCTTGAAACAAAACAACACAAGCTCCAATGAACCACCAAAATCACAACTTTTCACGACAATCATACAAAAATTTCCAGCACAAGTTTCACCAAAAAAAAAAATTATCTCCAATCAATCAAGCTCAAAATTCAATCAACTACGTAACAAACTATCAAACATAGCTAATTTTCAAATTTATAAACAACAAACAAAATAACATGTTTTTTACTTTAAAATGCATCTAAGATATTCATTTAGTAGAGTAAAAAAATAACTTACACAAAAATGTGCTTTTTCTCACAAAGACAAAAGCTCATTTTCTTCCTTGCACTTTCACCTTTAACACATTCTCTTCTTTACTTCTCTACACATGTTTTTTTCAGCCTTATATTCATTTTATCATTCACTTCATTTACATTATACTGGACCTAATTATAAAACACAAAAAGGGTCTAATTCAACGTGTTAAGTAAATGAACTACTAAAAAAATAAAAATCAATCACTAACCCGATATAATTGGGTTTACAATGCAACATAATCTGCAAATAAGACTCTGGGCGTTCGATAACGGTTTATAATAAAAGAAGAGGAAGAAGAAAGCCTAAAACCCTTTTTCACAGCATTTTTTTTTTCTATCTTTTTCTTTCTATGAATTTCAGGCGTAGGCGCGTGTTGTGCGAGCTGGCCAATTTTCATTGGCAGCGGTCTGGTGGCGTGCTGTCTGGTACGGGATTCAGCTATGCTCCAAGTCCAAGTCGGTTGTAAACGTTTCCTATTTTCTCCGTTAAAATAACCAAAAAAAAAAAAAAAAACTTCTAGTTGGTCGCTTTGTGAAAATAACATCTAAATGAACTTGTGAAATAAAATGATATCATTGATTTTATATTGTATAAAATCAATACATATATATTAAATATAAACTTGTGAAATAAATTTTTACATGTGTGAACATAATAAATACTAAACATTTTTTTTTGTTTGATACATGAAATTTTTTATTCAAATCTTAAAGGCAAAAACAAATTGCTGCTGAAGATTCTCATTTTTTACCTTTGGCTTTTTTTTCAGTTTTTACTGTTCTGAATTTCTTGAGAAAAATGAGACTGTTGTACATTGAGGGAAAATAATGTAAGTATTGTCGTTAAAAGAAAACAATGAAGAAGACAGTCTTCGTTGGACCATGGTTGAGGCCTTGAGGAGTAGCTGCAATTTATGGTTTAAGTCTAAATTTTATGGGAGAAGATCTTCTCCATTGCCTAAAAAATAGGGGAATTTTTATTATTTTGTTTAGGATTTAAATTTAAGTTTTATGGGAGAATATTCTCTTTACATCTTAAAGGTAATGAAATTTTATCACTTTCAGGACCTGGTGAAAATTTGACCAGCTTGGAAAACAGAGTCGAGACAGGGACTCTTCTCAAAGCGATCGACGATGCCATTTCTTCTAAAACAGCGAAAGATTTTGCATTCTCTTATCAGATTATTGTTTTAGATTTCGACGCTGTTCTGTTTTTGAGGATTATATAGGAGGCAGGAAATGGCAGCAATGAAGAAACGTGGAGGATGGAGAAGAAGGGAGAGTGTGGAAGCTGAGCTCCCCCTAGCAGTGGTAGAGAGCTCCAGAACGTTAGAGAAATAATAAGAACTTAAAAAGGTTAAATATTAAATAAAACAGTAAGAACCAATAGAGAAGGATGGGAAAAAAGAGGTAAAACCAAAAAGACCAATTGAGTCTTGATTTTATGCGAACATTACAAAGCTGTGTAGAACCATTAACAGTTTCTGGTATTACCATTATCAGAAACTCCCAAATTGAACCACATAACAAAAAAATGAAGGGTGGGTTGAGAAAAAGGAAAGAAAGAAGATAAATTCACTCCTTTTAGGTTATAGAAAGAATACATGTTAATGAACGTCGACTAGCAACTACAAGACCCATAGGACCCTAAATTCCACAAAGCTAACACAAGTAATTGAAGCAGCAGCCAGAGACCATCAATTTTTTTTTTCCTTTTCCTTCATCATACTTCTTGTCCAGATGATGTAGTGGGAAAATATGCAGACAAGCCTAGGAGATAGCCGCTTATGACTTCTTCATGATATATCCTATAATTATGCCCAGCAGGCCGATGAAAATCACGAACATGAATGACACACCACCACCGGTTTTGCTGCTTTCACGCCTCAAGAGTTCCTAAACATTTGTTATCCTTATATGTAAGAAGTTTCCATGGCTCAGAGATCAGGAGAAAATAATAAACAAGGCGGAGACAAGTAAATCAAAAGAACAGGTCTATCAGTAATTGAAGAAATATTTCCAAGTTTTCAACTGCAACTCATAGGCATCAAGTAGAAAAGGTACTTGCTATAAACAAGATAACCTCTGTTTTTAAACAAATAGAGAAGAGAAGGGCATCCTTCTGAGGTCAAGACGTAGAAGGAAAACAAATTTATCCACATTTTAAGAAGATACCAAGGAAAAGAGATTAGTGTTGATCAAATCTTTGAATAACGGGAAGAAATTATCAAGAGAGGATAAGCATAAGCCTTCAAAACACAAATAAGGGGTTAATGAATTTACTGACTTCTGGTCATTCACAACGAAAGAAAAGGACAAAGGAAGTATAGGAAAACTTTTTAAGCAAAATTCAAAGAGCCGTTTGTTGTATTATGCAAACATAAGTTGAGAAGGAACTGAGGAAGCATATAACAGACAATACTACTCTACACATTAATTATAATAATTATAATCCATATGGTAAAGTCACAGTCCATTCTCCTCACCAGTTCTTGGCGAAGCTTGTTATTTTGTTGAATTGCGTGATTTTTCTCCTCAGTCAGCTTTGTTACAAGAGCTCTTGCCTGCAATTATAGAAAGTATTATTGAGGGTTATTATACGCCATGTATCAACATCACACACAATATATGTTAAAGATTACAGAGCTTCAGGACCCAATGCTGCAAAAGCTGGCTATTTATGCCCATGAACAAGGGAAAAAATTGCCAGAACCTTTCAAAGGAAAAGAGAAGTTGTGCCTCCTGGCTGCAAACATAACTTAATTGACACTACATTTAATAAATTCCTGATACATCTCTTCCAATGGGTCTCCTTCCTTTATCTTATGGAATATAGTAGTCTAGCCATAAAATTGACATACATATAGTAGATAGGCTTGCAGGTACCATTGTGCAGACCTTTTCTTGACGTTTTTTGGCCATTAAATAAAGTGGTGGTTAACCCTCAAAGACAAAGGGTAGCCAACATGAGAATGTCGCTCACTTTCCCAAAAATTTAATTCTACCGTAAGCAACATATGAACCTACTGCAATACAAGTGTACAATGTTGTACAACATGAATGACATAGTATATACCATAAAAGAAGTTCTAGTCCAACATAAAATTGAAAAATAACTTGTCTTGCAGCAAATCCTGTTTTGCTCACATGTATGATAAGAAACACCCAAGAGATATTTTTAGATGATTAATACGCCAGAAAACTGTATCATAGCCAATTAATTCAACTCCTAAGAACCCATGACAACCGTGCAAACACAGGTTCAACAAATAAGAAAGTCATTCAATATCAACTTAATATATGAGTTCCTCTAAATGGTAATTACTTTAAATTCTAAAAACACTAGTTTTCCAACATTTTAGTTTGAATACAAATCCATTAGATATATGTAGAATGATGGGCTTCAGTAAATTCTACATATTATTACTACCACCTGTAATCTTTCCTACAATATGGTTTGAGTGCATTTAGTGAACTCAAGATAAGTTATTCCTAATGGTAAATGTAGCAACCTCCATAAAAAAAGAAGTCATCTTAGACAAGACCCTGATTCAACAAAAATAATGCAACTTCTACATTTGGCTCCAGTATCCACAAAAGCCTCAAATAGCTGAATCGCACCATGATTAATGAGGTACCTATTTTAAGAAAAATGTGGAACCCTACAAACTACTGAACCACCACTTTAGACTAACAGGCTCAGCAAGAAAAACTAGTAGCTATATATATTTTCGTCTGAACAATTAGAACTATAATTTTTCTAAAGGAATATAATTTGACTCTATACCATCTCTTACCTCCAGCATTTAATTAATGAAAGAGCAACTGAGCAAGTGAAATCTGGCCTGAAAACATGGACCTTACTACCAAAAAATGACTATTATCAAGATAAATTAAAATCAATAATGCATATGCAGCAGCTAGCAGTTAGACAGAAAATACAGAATTTAAAATTTACCTCAGAAGATTTATCCTGAGCTTCATAATGTTCAGTAAATGCTCTTGCAGCCTGCATTCAGCAACAAAATCCACACTATTAGTATTCTAAAAAATATAAAGTACAGACAACAAGAAAAGCAACAATCAAATCATATGCAGCAAGATCTCACTGTAGCAAACTCAGCAGCATTTCCATGTCCGTTGTCTGAAACAGAGCCTCTGGGTGAAGATCCTTCTTCTGACCCTTCACGTACAGGAGAAGGTGGTTGAAGTGGAGAAACATAAATCACTCTCAACTTGCACTCCTCAACAACATGCCCAGCTTCCTTGTTGAACTAAAAAATCAAGATTCCTGTTAATCATAAACTGCACATCCTAACCTTAAATAAACCGTGTAATATAAATAGTTATATACCATTTCTGCAGTTATATCCTTCGCTGTTGCACCATCATTTACTTTTACACTTTGAAGGAGGAACTTGTCCCTGCATTGCATATCCGGAGGAGCCTCTTTTTGCGCTTGCATGGTAACTAAATAAAAACCAACCATTCTTTTCTAAGTTACCCAGAAGCCAACAATGATGAAGACAAACCGCAAACTATCTAGCAAAATATAATTGATTTATTGTACCTATAACATCGCATGTGGATCGAGGCGAGATGATCCCCGTGTTGGGACGAACACAGTACTTCTTTGGATTCGTTGTTTTCACCTGAAAACAAAATCAATACTCAAAGGAAATCTACAATTTCAATTTGAGATTTAAACATTATAAATCTTTTTTCCCGATTTTACTCAGCAACTAAACAGAGCATTACGGCGTCGCATTATCAAAAAGTAGGAAGATAAGATTATATGATAAAATCATAGATCAAAAGTTACATAAAACAAATACACCAAAAATGAATGGGCGATGAAGAATACCTTGAAAGCCACATAATCATCGGTTTTATTCAACAATTGAAGAGAACATGAGATCTGTTTCCTCAGCTCAACTATTCACCCAAAACCATAATAAGAAACAAAAGAAATCAGAACAAAACCCTAGAAAAACAGAAATCTCAGATCTGCGAGAAGAGGGAAGGGAAACTTACAAGGAAACTTGAGCTCTAAAGGGTCGATGCTGAGAAGGTCGCCCGTGCTCATTTCGAAGCAATGGCTTATAATCAAGGAATCGCTTTGAAAAAAGGATCTGAGAATCAGAAATTTATCTGGTTGGTCTGTTTTAAAAAGATTCGGGGCGGAGAGATCGAAAGGAGAAACAAAAATTATAACGATAACGTTTGGCTTTTTTTCTGCGTAGTTCAAATATTAGTACGTTGATTATGTTCCTTCTAAAAAGAGAGAGAGAGAGAGAAAAGAGGAGACGGAGAATAGTGTACGTGCGTCGAAGAAGAAAGGCCAGAAAAGGAAAGGAAAATGAATTTATTTGGCATTGTTTACTTTTACTTAGTTTTTATATTTATAATACTCCGTGCATCTCAAAATATTTGTCAAATTTTTATGAAATTTAAAAATATTTTAAATTTAATATATTTAATATCAATTTTTAATTATTTTTATAAAATTAAAGTTTAATTATTTTTAATTTAAATTTTTTAAAATTAATTTTAAAATATTTAAAAAAATAATACATAATTTTGAGACATTTTTTAAAAAATTTTAGTTTGATAAAAGTAATAACCCTTATGATTTTTATCATCTGGTTGAGATTTAATTTTTTAATTTAAACTTTTTGCTTTTTTTTAAAATTAATCTCTTACGTAACACCTTTATATCAATTACACAGAAAAAACTTGTAAATTCAGTGCAAAAAATGTGATTTTTCTGTCAATATTTACTGGTAAGGCATTTTATGTTTGCAAAGTACATGGCCAATAAAGTCATTTTCCATAACCTAATGGAAACCTATAGAGTTTGGCAATTTGCTTGGTGGTATGGGAACTTAGGTGGGATTCAATGGCGTTAGGCTAAAATGCTTTTAGGTCTGCATTAAGTTGGAAAAAAAATAATTTTATAAGAAAAAAAAAAGATATTATTAAAAAGTTGGCCACAATGATTTATTTTCCTTTTTTTCATATCCTATCCATCCAAGGTTCAACTGGATAAAATCTTGGAAGGTGATTGGTGAACGGTGAAAGCTTTTATTAGCGACATTAAAAGAGTTGGGCCAAAGATTCCTTAGTATGGCCTTGAAAAAGGCTACAACGGCCAGGTTCCAAAGGTATGATAAGTCAGTCCCTTTCCAATTGTCTCTATTTGCATAATTTACATTTTTTATCTAATAACTTAAATAATACAATATAAAAATAATATAATTTAAAATTTTAACAAAAATTATAAATAAATTTAATAAAATAAAAATATATATTTTTTATATTTTTATATCAATATAAATTATGACAATTTTTTAAATTTTTAATATTTTACACAATTAAGATATACAAGTTACCAAGTTTACATTTTTCTCAGTCAACCTCTGTCACATCTTCATTATCATCCCTATCTGCCCAATTTTCCCAATATAAAGGGGTTTACGTTAAATTCAGTATTAGATGGCTGAAATACTCTTTTTTATTTTTTTTCATGATAAAGAAGATGCTATTGACAGTAAATAAATTGTTTGTACTTGAAGCTGGATTGTAAAAGGCCTCCAAATTTGGTTGAAGAAAGTTAGAAGAGATCTGGTATATAGAAAAGAAAATTATACAGGGGGAATAGCAATCATTGCAACTTCCACCAACCTTCAAAGGGACCAACTTCAATTTCAGTAATCATATGGATAACCTCAAGGTAGCTGTATCTAATTACCACAAATGGGGGCCTAAAAGAAGTCATTTTCCTTGTTATGTTATATATGTGAGCATAATAACAGTGTTCCAATTATTTGATTTTTTAGTTGCTGCCTCTTCTTTGGGAGGCAATGATTCCAACCATCTCAGAGTTCTACTTTGGCAGACTAGTCCTTGCTTAATGACGGGATAATAGCTTTGTAATGAGTGGTTTCTAATTGTCTCAGACTCTCAGGTTCATTTCTTAAATTTCTGAACTATGGCCATGAAAATGGAGAAGTTTTTTAAAATGAAAATGTCATGTGCTTCCATGACTTCTGAAGCAAGAAATATATAACTTCTTGATAGTTACTATAGCACCACAGTTCTTAAGTTCAACAATCAAAACAATTGCGTTCCAAAGATAAGAGTAACATAAGAACTTGAAATATGCAAAATGAATTTTGCAGCTCTGAATCCAGAGTTCCAGACCACATTGATACATTTACATGTTTTTATAATCAACCAGTTCCAATTGGTATAAGGTGGCCTTGAGTTCCCTCTTGAAGAGTGCTTAAGCACTGAAGCACCAAGGGAAGAATCACCAGGTTAGTCTGATCAGCAACAAGAACCTTTAAAATGACAGTTTTTGCTTCTCAAGTTGATGTGCATATTCATCTGCTTCTGGGACACCTTGGCAAACAATAACAAGAAATGTGCTGTGCAAGCCCTTTCAGGACCTGTCAAGGAAAAACAAATAAAAGATTACTAATAAAATGATTTGATGTTTAGAATGCCAGCCACAAGGAAGCATAAAACTTTTTGAACTCACCGTCTTGGTGTCCTCAAGTGCCACTTCCAATGCATCAATTTTCTGTCCCATAAAGATCGTCAAAATAATTGCATAGAATTTTATCTATTGTTAGAGACTAGAGGTGCAATTGTACTTTACTTTATTGGTGTCTGTAAATGCAGCTTCCAGTGCCATGATTTTTCTTGGTGCAAGCCTATTACTCATTGCCCTTTCCCCTTCTCTCATGTCTTCTTTATCTCCATTATCATCATGTGTTGAGCAAATTAAGCCATGAAACGACTGGCTGCATAAAAGGAACAGAGCGAAAAGGAAGGGAATGATTTACACCATTAAGATAGACAATAATGTCTTGAACAATTATAGCATGAAGCTGAGAAGAATCCTTGATCGGTGAGGTGGAAGCATAACAATTAAAGATGCTTACCACATCTTCTGAAGCTAGGTCACCGTTTCCTTCATTAATGGCCTCTTCTATTGCAGAAACTGCCCATAATTAAATAAATGAAATATTAAGGATGACACAGTTATAGTAGTGAATGTGTGAAATCATGTCCATATTTATTTCTACAAGCCAGAAATCAACAATCAATTTTGTCTTTCTACTGAGTAGGACTTGACCTGAAGCATCTCTGTAATTTCTTGATGGTTCCAGGGTCCTTTATCACTTAACAGGCAACCACCATAGTAGCACATTTGCAGGTGCCACTGAGAAATGCCGGCAAATTACTGTGAATTCAATGATATCAATATGTAGTGGCTCCCAAGTTTGCGACGTGAATACAAAGAAATGAGAATGACAAATTACCTTGGATCAATAACTTCAACTAGGTTACTAAGGTAGTTAGATCCCTGCACCTGAAACATAATTGTCATTTTCCCGAAGTAAAAAATTTCTGTTGTTTTAGTAGGAAATCACTTATTCATACTACTTGAATGCTATTGTACAAGAGACTGCTAGAGTCCTTACACGAATTTTTACCAAGGTTAGTGCATCCAGAAAGGCCTTGAGCAGCTTCTACAGCATCCGGAGCCCAACCCAGCATTGATAATGAAGAGTCTATTGAAAGTCTGCAAGAATATATATCATTGACCAAAATTACCCAACTATAATGTGTTTGCACAAAGCCTACCAAGTCCCGAGAATGACTCATTCATGTGTATGAAATTGGAAGCACTAGTTGTGCCTGCATCATGAACAAAATTTCTACTGTGAAGAACGTTATGAACTAAGATCTAAGATCTGCCTACTTTTTCTTTCAGAGTGAAAGGGCGAAAAAACACTGAATGTTCTGGCACTGAAATTCTCTTCTGTATCCTCTAATGGTGGTCATCATTGATGCCTAACAATTATTTATGAGCAGCATGCAACAGGATCCAACCCACTGGCTAATCAGACAACATATTGTTGCTTGGAATCTGGGCTTACAAGCATTTCTCACGGGTAAACCATGCTCACCGTCTACTGGTGTCTAGTTTATCAATCTAAACTAACGAAAATAAATGGAATTGCACTTACCTCCGGTTAGTAATTGCTATCAATCTTCTGAATTTTCAAGAAGAGGTATCGTGCAGGCTTTGAGAAATTAGACATTCCCTTGGCAGAGACAACATTCAAATAAATTTAGAACTCACTATTAGATTTACATTTTGAGCCAATTAAATTGTAGCTCAATTCAGATCAATAATTAATTATGAATTGTCCAACATTGTCATCTATTGACACATTAAATAGGCTATACTGTGAGCAAAATTCATCCATCTCGATTCATTCTTATCATACTGCAACGCAACCTCTTGACAAGATTATAGACAAATAAAACTATTCAGCAAGAAAGCATATAAAGGTTTTCATGGCTCTCCCTTGAAAAATATCGTACACAAGATGGGGGAAATAAGGGAAGAGACGCTTACAACTACTCCCTTCACATCTAAGATACTTGTGGTGGATGCTATATGCCTCTTGGCTGCAATGGAGCATGCAGGAAATCTCAAATTTAGTGCTTTCTCTTGTTCTGATACATGACGTACTTGACAAATCTGTCTATGCTTGTCACTTGTAGTAATGCATTCAGGTCTATAATCCCACCCCTTTCAATTGTATACTGCTCTACCACTTCAATCTACACCTCGAAATCCATGAGGATAGCATTTCTTCACCTCTGCAAGCTCAACAAACTTAAATCCCTGGATAGTGAAGATTTACACCACAAGACAAGGAGAATATTAAGCATTAGACAGGCTTTAATCAGCAAATTTTAATTTAAATAAAACTTACACCAAATTGTGTAATGATATGCTAAGTTTTGCATAAAAGCATGTGAAGTTATACAAAGTAAATGTCATTGATGGATAAACAGGTCAAACACACGCAGCAAGAAAAAGAAAAGAAAATGACAAAGGGATAATTTGATGCAAGATTTGGTTTGAACTTCACTTACCTTTTGGATTGTATCAACTGCATAGTCCTTGAGCCACTGAAGATAATTCAGAAACATTTCTTTTGCTTTTGACAGATCAAAATCTCTCATTCTTAGAAACGTAAAGCCATAAGGAAATCCCCATCATTGTAATAATAAAAGGACTGATCAATATATACAGAGATATTTAAAAGATTTTTCATACGTTGTTCCATTAATGCTAGCGTTGTCATTAACTTACCTAACAGTGTATGACAGTCATTGTGCTTTGCTGGTAACTGATCCTCAAGGAAAGACTGAACAATTTGTTCATCTTTTGGATCATGAGTTCCTTCAAGGATTAGTTCCATGATTATTTCTATTTCCAAGTCTCTTCAACGAATCGCAAACTTTGAGTGGATATGACCGCATGGACCTAAGG